GGGTTTAGGGTTTAAGGGTTTAGGCGAAGTGGTTTGGTGGGGCTTAGGGTTTGAAGCCTAGACCCTCAAACCCTATAAAGCAAACCCTATAAGGTTAAGGGTTTAGGGTTTAAGGGTTTAAGCGAAAGGTTTTGGTGGGGCTTAGGGTTTGAAGCCGAAACCCTTAAACCCTAAAGCAAACCCCAAACCCCAGGGCCCAGCTGTTTTCGCTCGGATGGACAACGAGCTGTGTGAAGGGTGAGACGGGCCTGGACGTCGGGTTTCCACAATTATGCTACTATATATATATATATATATATATAGTGTCTACTATATATATATATATTATATATAGTTTAAATTTATAGTATATATTAGCATTACAACATATTAGAAGCTCTTAGCTTCTAACCCTAGAGGCCCGGGTCTAAAGCCTAAGCTTAAGCCTTTAGGGTTATGGGGTTCTATATTGTGGAAACCCGAAAAAACACTGCAGCACCCTATTTCTAGGGGCTGCAGTGTGAGGCTAGGTTGCAGCACCCTATTTCTAGGGGCTGCTTTGCGACTGTAGCACCCTATTTCTAGGGGCTACTGTGCTCTTGGCACGGACCCTTTTTCAAGGGCCCAAGGCCCTATTTCTAGGGCCTGCTGCCTTGCGAGGCGGTTACAAGTCTCTGCAGTCTATCATCTGACACAGAATTGCTTCCGTGGCCACACAGAGGTCTCGGAACACTCGCACACCGGGCTTCTTGGCCAGGTCCTGGTGCCGCTCTCTTTTCGTGGTGGTCGCGAACACCTTCAACCCTTTTTCAAGGGCTTCCTGCAGGATCACTGGATTGTCGTCCAGGATCAAAGAGCAGCCAAGACTGGTTGCCAGGGCGACTTTCCCGTTTGGCCCGCCCCTTTCAGGGCAGGTCCAAACCCCAGTCACCTGGTCCCGGATATTGGCTGCCTCCAGCATCCTGTACATCTCCTGCACTCTCGCCTCGTTGTGAGTCGGAGTGACGAAGGAGATTATAAAGACTTCCCAGCCCGCTTGCTTGAGTGCTCGCACGGAAGCACTCCACATCGGCCGGATCTCGTTCTCCTTCCCCAGCTGCAGGACTTGGTGCCAGTCCAAGCACAGCTTGGCCGCCTGGAGCACCTCATCAGCCCTATTTCTAGGGCCGGGAGCTGTGTCCGGCTCCGGCTCCTTGGCTGCTGGCACACCTTCGGCAGCAACAGCCTTGCCCTTGCCCTGAACTGCCTTGCCGACAGATCCCTTGGGCTGCTGCTTGTTCCCCTTTTTCAAGGGCTTCGGCTGCTGCTCCTCTTTCGAGGGCTGCTCGCTAGAGTTCCCCTTTTTCAAGGGCTTCGGCTGCTGCTCCTCTTTCGAGGGCTGCTCGCTAGAGTTCGAGCTCTTCGCACCCACTATCTCGATGCCTTCAGGTGGCACCGGGTCCAGCCGTGGTGGTGTGCGGGAGCGGCTGGCCTCGGAGGAAGTGCTGGTGGCTCGGTGCCGCCTTCCTCGCCGGGCTTCCCTCAAAACTACCGGCTCGGGCCTCGCTTCCATCAGCTCGTCCTCAGTCTCCTCAGCCCTGTTTCTAGGGCTTGCCTTGTAAGGCTCTTGAGAGCCCCACTGTTTCGAGTAGGGCTCCCACTCCTTTCCCCAGCTTGACCCCCACTCTCTGGTCCAAGGCTCTGCCCAGCCATGTAGCTTGCTGGCTCCTGCGGCTTGTCACCCGACCACCACCTGGAGTCCTCGCCGTCGTCGTGGTCTTTTTCCCACCACTTGGCCTCCTCGACTCTGTTTCGAGAGTCGCGGTGCTGGTGCCAGACCCGCCAGTCTTCTTCCCACTGGTTCCACTGCTCAGGGGTCCACCACTGCCCGACCCTATTTCTAGGGTCGAGCTTCTCCTCCTCCCTTTCAGCTGCAGCCTCCTCCCTTTCAGCTGCAGCTGCTTGAGAGTACTGCAGACCTCCTTGGTCCGACCCTGGGCCGAACCTTGCAAGGCGGTCTGCCTTCCTCTTGTTCGAGCTAGTCCCGGTACCTATAGGCTTCCCTTGCCTATTCTTGACTCCCGGGACTGCCCTTGAGGCGGGCATCCTGCTCAGGGTGCCCCACCTCTTGCTCGCTGGCGAGCTCTTAAGCCCAACGGCAGCGGACACACCGGAGTTTTCTCTTGGGCTTGGGCTTCAGGGTGTCTAGGGGTACCTCGAACCTTTAGGCTTTTGGGGTCTCCAGGCTTCTACTTTTAAAAGCTTTGTTGGGCCTCTAGGCTACCTTACCCTGGGGGTGGCTAGGCTGAAAGGTTTTGGTATTGGTTCTTTAAGGGATATATTTTGGGAAGCCTGTTACCGGAAGCCCTTTTTCAAGGGCTCCAGGTGACTAGGGCATTAAATTATTGCTGGAGGCCCTTTTTCAAGGGCTCCAAGTGAATCGGGGCTTAAGTTTATATACCTATATATATATATCTATATATATATATAGCTGCGACACTATAAAATTTACGAGCTTACCGGCCGGGGTTTAAAGCTTCAAGGGAAACCCCAAACTCTAAAAGGCTTCACCCTAAGACCCCAGACCCCACACATGTTTGTGTGTGTGTGTGTGTGTGTGTGTGTGTGCGATTTTTCTGCCGCCCTGCCCCCCCCCCCACCCAAATTTGTCCTTTCCTCTCGTTTAGCACCGTTTAAAGAAAGTATAATAAAAACAGATTCCAGAACACTCTTCTAAATTAGAAAATAAGGAAGAAATATAAATATATATATATATATATAATATGGAATATATATATATATATATATATATATATATATATATTCCATAATAAGTATTTCCATCCCCGAACCCTTGTTTTTTAGCTCCCGGTGGCCTGAACGGTAAAGTCAGGGTGAGACGTGGCCAGCAGGGCCTCTTGCAAAAAAGCTACTTCTGCCCACCCTGTTTCCAGGGCGGGCAGCTGCACAGTCGACCCTGTTTCGAGGGTTCAAGACCCTCTCTCAAGGGCAGAGCTTCTTGCAGACCCCCTCTCAGGGGTATTTTTTGCAAAGGCTGGTCCTCATTGCCTGGGCCTGGTCCTTCGTCATTTTCGGATCCTTTTCTAAGGCTTTCTTGATGATGTCGATGACCTTCTCGTACTGGCTTGTCCATCTTTCCGGCACCTCCGTGATCAGGAGTCGCTTGCCAGCCGGCCCCAAGGTACCAGTCAGGTAGCACCGGGCCGGCTTGCTGGCCTTGGTCTTCCTGACTGCTTTCCAGCCGCCCACGTGGCCGGGAATGGGCTGAGAGGCAGCCGGCTTTTTCAAGGGCTGCTCTTTCGGCTCTTGGCCCTTTCCCCGACCTTTCTTTGCCTTGCCTTTGCCCCTTCCTCGTCCCCTTCCTCTGCCCCTGCCTTTGCCTTTTGCAGGCTTGCTGCCTCCAGCAGCAGCACCCGTCCCACCAAGGCCCATTGCCTCTTTCAAGGCATCAGCAGCCTCCTCTTCTGGCTCCTCTTGGCCTACCATTAAGCTCTGCCCAGCTCTTCTCTTCAAGAAAGACACCGAGCAGGGAGCTCGTCCCTTTGGCAAAGCTTCGTCTGCACTCTCGGGACTGCTTGCCTGGCTTTCCCCAAACATTTTCGGGAAACCGTCCGAGTCCAGGGAAGGCTTGGGCCGCAGCTGCCTGCCTTCTTTCGAAGGCGGCTTCCTGTCTTCCAAGGCCAGCCTGGGTCCCGTTTCGGGGACCTCCTTGTCCTGGAACAGGTCCAGAAGCTCTTTCAGCTTCCGATATTCGAAAGCCGTGAGCTTGCTGGCTGCATTGCTCTTTCCCTCAACCTCTGCCCTCGCCCATTTTCGTGTGTGGTTCAGCAAGCAGCCGAGTCGCTCCCCTTTCAGGTTGCTCCACACCGACCCGTTGAAAGAAGAAGTGTTCACGGTCGGGTCATCTCTCATGAGCTTCAGCAGGGCCTGCCTCATCGGCTGGGTGTGGACCTCACCGGTCGGTTCGGCCCTCAGGAGGTCCCTGAGCAGGTCCAGGTTGCGAACCAGACCCTTTGGGTCCACTGCACCAGACCGACTGATTAGCTCGTAGGGTCCCAGGTCCTTGATGAGGTCCTTGTGGTCCCCCAGCACTTTCAACAGCACACCTTCGTCTGTGAAAGGCTTCGGGGTGTGCCTGGCCCCTCCTCGCCCCTTGGCGGCCATGCTTTCCACCCTGTTTCCAGGGCAGAAAGCTTTCCCTTCCCAGGATGCAAAAAACGGTCCTTAAGTTTTCGCTCTCCACCCTGTTTCTAGGGCAGAAACAAACTTGCCGTCCACTCCTTCGGAGCTCCAGCAGCCTACACCAGCTGCTCCCACCTCGCTGCAGGGAGCAGCACACTTGAGCCAAAGTTGCAGGCCGCCGGCAGTGCACATGCACTCATGTTTTCGGGCTACGTATGTTTGAAATCGATCCCTGTTTCGAGGGATCAGGGAGCAAGAAAAAATCAATACCAGAATCAATCGGAAGTATCAGTAAAATCAATAGAAATAAATATGCCAAAATATATACTTCAACAGAGAAAAAATCAATATCAATATAATTGATATAATCAATATAGGCCATCAAAATCAATATCAATGGAAATTTATCCAAAAATATTGATTCTAATCAATAGCGGATGCTCAGGGTATGGTTTATTGTAGCGGCTTGTGATACGGGCTTGAGAATACAGCTGGCCTTGGCCTTGTGTTTCCTTATGGTTAATTACAAACTATGGTTTCTATGGTTTGATCAGGGATTTTGGGGTTCTATGGGGTTCAATCTGCGTAGAGAGCTGTTTGGAAGTTTAGCGCCTTAGGGCTTTGATCTAGAACCCGATTGAACACATCAAGGTCCCTACACCCTGCGCCACTAAATAAACTTTGATTGCCTCTTCTTGTTTATATGTATTTACTCATTCCATAGATCTACCTATCTATCCGCTAACTATCTCTCTCTCTACAAACATGTGTTTATATGTGATTATATATGTAAATATGTAAAATGTGCAAGCCCGCATCCATGGTCTTTACCGAGGAGCCGAAATCCACTCGGAAGAGCATGCCATCAGCTCGGAGCATGATGTTGTCGTCATGGCTGTCCTTTTGGTGTATGGGTTTCTGCTTCTCAGGGAGGATCTGCAGGCACCCAGGAAAAATGGCTCTCTTGTTGGTATTGGGTTGTCACTGGGTGGTGTGTATCAGGAGCCTAAAACCACAAAAAGGGAAGAATGGGCAATGGTGACTCAAGGTTTTGAGCCAGGGGTCTTGGTTTTTGGGTGTAGGATTCTTTAGGGTTTAGGGATAGGGATCGGATAGGGGTCAGGGTTCTGAGGTGTAGGGCTTAAAGATTGGGGTTTTGGGTTTAGAATTTCACTGGTTGGAGAACTGGGGCACTTCAGATTTTGGGGCTCAGGGGCTTTGTTCAGGTCGGATGTATGGGCTCAATGCTTTCGAGACGAGGCGGCATTGACTGGAACAAAAACTCCTTGCTTACCGACAAATAAGCTGAATCGAATCACCTTCGGCCTTACATTCTTTTGGGTGGGCCTCGTGATCCCCTGTAACGGTTTGGGCATGGACATGGGGGTGAACAAGATAGTGCCTCCTTGTAAATCCTCAATGAAAGGGTCCTCCATATAAAACCCTTTCGAAAAAGACCCCTCAGACGCAGAATCAGAAGCCGCCACCTTTGAACAGTAGAGCCGCTCGAAGGCCTACCGCATAGCCCGCCACCAAATAAGCCACAGTCGAGGCCGCCAGTCGATCGAGCAACTTGGCATCATGCTTCCTTGCTTGTCGGGAATGAAGGTCCCGGTTCCTTGAGTTGTTTTGGGGTTTACAGTCTCAAGGTTATAGTCTTAGGATCTTACGGCTTAGGGTTTGAGAGGTAGGGCGTTAGGGCTCGGGGTTTCGAGGTGAGGGGTTGAGGGTTTGGCATCAAGGCTTTAGACCTCGAGCTGTTTACGGCAGAGCCCTGAGACCTATCCTAAAACCCGAGGCACTTGGCAGAACTCGAACTTCCTGGCTAAGCGAGTTTTCTGTCAAGCGGTGTAATTATACCTATATATATATATATATATGTATGTATGTATATACATACATATATATATATATAGAGAGAGAGAGAGAGGAGAGACAGAGAGCGTTTAAGAAGTATCCGGAAACCAAAGTTACTCAGGAGCCCTAGCAATGTAGGTATCATCTTCACGATGAGGCATAACCTAAAGCCTCTCGCCTAAGCCCTGAACCCAAAACCCAAAACCGCGAACCCGTAAATTTTAAACTCTGAGCCCTGAACCCAAAATCCTATAAACAGAAAAAGCCCTAAATTCAAGGCCCTGAACCTCAAATTCTGAGCCCTGAACCCAGAATCCTATAACCAGACCTGGTGCTCGAAGCCCGGCAGTCTGTCCACCTTCCACTTGAGACCTTCCTCAACCCTGAAAGCTGGAATCTCCAGCTCGAGAATCCGAAGAAGACTTAATCTGGACTTTGAAGTGAGCAGGGGGAAAAAGTATAGACTTCTATTTCATAATGGCTCCTTTCAGGAACAGGTACCCAAAAAAAGTATGCAAGTATGGTACTCCAAACCCATGTAACTGAAGACCGTCAGCCCAAAGCCCCAAAGCCCAAAACACCCTAAACCCTAAATGCCCAAGCCCTGAAACCATAGACCCTTGCCCCCAGTACCCGGAACCCCTAATAGAGGAGTCTGAGTAGGTTAACATATGTTAGAACAAGGTTTCGGGAGATAGGATATTCGTAGTAGGAATCATTCTGGTCAGTAACCAAGCTTTGTTGAATACCAACTCATTCAGGTTTTGTAGGCTTGGGTCGCTTAGGTCCTGGATTCTTAAATCTCCAAACCGTGGCAACAATCATCAATACTCTTCCAGAGGTTGCCTACTCTATTTCCAGTAGACTAGACCTCAAAGCCTTACTCAAGCTGCCAAGGCCCCTTAGAGCAAGCCCCGAAATCCCAAAGCAACTCCCTCAGCTCCATTGCAGGGCGAAGCGTCAGAGCGTGAAGCACGCGCAGTGGGCGCTCTGAAGGATAGCACTGGGCCAGCTCCCTCATGTTGCGGCTGTCGGGTATGACCTGCAAAAACTTCTGGAGCTTCTATAGGATTTTATCGGGTGCCTCTATAGATATTTACAGCCTCTGACAACCTTTTGCAAGCACCCCATACACAAAAAACGACCAACCTATAGCAACCTGAGACACCCTACACAAATCTACAAGAGCTGTATTTTTCGGAGTTGCTGTAAGGGTTCCTTCGTCGGTGTTGACGGTTTACAGAGTGTGGAGCTCGCAGGGCTGGTCGAGGGTCAGGACTCTTTGAAGAACAAAGGTAATGAAGGTCGCCATAGTCTTGGTAGTAATACTAACACAATGTGCATCGTTAAAAGTATGGTAATACCGGTAATCATAGTCACACCGAGCAATAATACTGATAAGCACTTTGTTTATTGTAGTTGTAGTAGTAGTAGTAGTAGTAGTAGTAGTAGTAGTAGTAGTAGTAGTAGTAGTAGTAGTAGTAGTAGTAGTAGTATTAAAACGATGATAACAATGACAGTAATGATCCTTGTCATGGTCAGGGGTCTCAATACATCGCAAGGGGGTTTGGGGAGTGCACTAGACTGAATAATCTCGAAGAGGGCTTCTGGGAATGTTTTACATTAGACTATCACTATCAGAAGGCGCCTGAAGCCTTTTTTCCGAAGGAGTGCGGTTGTCGACTCGGCGCATCCTTCAACTTCGGAATCGACTGCTCCCGCCCTCCATGAGCAATGGGCGGTTTTGGACGTGTCATTTCACCCCAGGCTCCCGAGTGAAGTACGTCTTCTCAAGCATCATGCCCAAGGCCCCGTCAGGTATCAGCCACAGATACTTGCCAAACCTGTCCGAGCCGTCGTGGAGACCCATCGCAACACTTTTGAACCTCTGAATCAACATGTCTCCCTGTGGACACACCAGGGCGCCCTAAGGAATTGCTGTAATGATTATTGAGGCTTCTCTGTCATTCTGAACTTCGAAATCCAAAAATGCATCAGATCCATGATGGTAATGTCGCCTTCAGGTGTAGGGTTTAGGGCTTAGGGACACAATAGGTGTTTCTAATGTGGGGGCCCTCTTGATCAGAATAGGGATCATGTGGTATTGTCATTAGGACGATAGATCGATACTGATCTCTACACTATGTCGGGACAGCTCAGCCAGGATGTAGCGGATCTGAAACCCAGTGTGCAGTTGGATAGTGGATAGATCGTGGCCGTCTTTGGTACACTTTCCCATGTGTCAGGGGAGGAGTATCTCAAGCATCAGCCTCTCAGAAACCCCTTTGGCCTCAAAGTGGCAGAACTCGAAGCACCAGTAACACCCTTCACCCTACGAAAACCGTCAACAACGAGAAGATCTTCAAGAGCCACCGCCCATTAGCTAGGAAAAGCCCTCCGCTAGGCTCGTGGTTTAGGGTTTTGGGCTCTTAGGGCCTTCGGAATTTAGGGAAAGAGTAGTTCCGAACCTCGCAGATCCTAAACCCCGAGAATCGATACCCCAACCCCAACGAAAGCACAATTCAAATTCCCAAAAGCCGTCAAGACTCCAAAACTAGGACTCAAACCCCACAGCAGATCAACCCGCACTCTGCCGCAAGCCTTCTCAAACCATGAACTTCACTTATGGCTGACTGTTCTATAGCGACCTAATTATTACCAATACTATTGTGGGGGCTCCTTATTGTAATTACAGTAAAATGGGGTCCGAAACCCTAGTCTAATTGATGAGGCCTCCATAGTACATCCTAAACCTGGTAAAGCCTAGCATTACAAAAAACAACAATCCGAAACCCAATATTTCAACCCTAATCACTCAAGCCCCACATAGAACCCTGCTAAAGCCCAAATAGAACAACACCAGGGTCTTAACCCTGGCCGGTAAATCCCAAATAGAATTCTAAACCCACACCCCGAAATACTTCCTGAGCCCCATAAGCATGCATAACCCCCGCCTACCCTTCGTTGCCCAAGCCCTAAACCACCCAAAGGGTCCTATGTACCGATATAGTAGAACGTAGGGTTTCCATATTAGGAATTACTATTATGACTCAGGGAAGTATCCCCCATACCAATACATAGGACCCTTTGGGCCAGAAACCCCAAACCCTAAACCCTCAACCCTAAACCCCCTTCATTGCCCAAGCCCTGAACCAGAAACCCCTATCTCGAAATCCTCCAGCCTCAAACCCTATTAGCCGTTACAAAGTCCTTACAGGACCCTTCAAGAAGTCCTGGTACACCAAAAAGCGCTTGCTTGTCCAGTATCCCGGGAAAGCAAAGGCCAAGCTATGAGCATCTGTAGGGGTCGTAGTACGCGGACAAAGGTTGAAATAAAAGACAGAAGGTTGGAACATCACCATACTTACTCATGCCCATTGGGTCAAGTGTAGGAAATCCAAGCACGAATCATCCTAAATCCATGTTCCAACTTTCCCGTGTTTACTCTAACAGTTCCCTACTCTTCGACTACGACAGTGGCCAGGACCACGCCTCAACGAGACCAAACTTCCCGGAGAGAGAGCAGATGTCATAGGTCCTGAGCATGCTCTACTGGCGTGGATATCTGTTGATGATATAAATCCTGCATGACCTTAAGGACCCGAAACTATGGAAATTATGGTATATTCCTTATTATGGATAATGCAGGATTTATATCATCAACCGTATTTAGAATAGGGCTCCTTGATGGGTTCCTGTACGGGTTCCTCTGAGGGTCGTACTGTACCTGGCAGCTTCTAACCTTTCAATGTAATGGGCAACCAACCCCTCTAATTCCAGGCATAGCTGCACAACCATTATGCCCAAGGTGATTGGGGAGGCTGGTACATGCGCCTTACACCCCATTCCCTCTCCCGAAACACATGGGTGGTGGTCAAAATGAGGGTCCCTTTTTGGGTCCCTGTTATAGTACGGCACCTTATATTTAGGGTGCCCAACCACCCATGTATAGTGTTTCATTGGAGGATGGAGCTGCTCGGGCAACATGCGGAGCGTAACAGTGTTAAAAAGGGCCTAGGTTTTGGGGAGGTATCTGAGTATAGCTATGACAAGGAAGAAGGAACCCTAAGGTACTAGGTACGAATTATGCAGCTCCTAGATAAGGCCGAGAATCACAGTTTGAACGAGCTCTTCGCACACGCGCACTTCGCACTGCTGCCAGAGCTGGTTCATGCGCCTGCATCTGGACATTCCAAGGTTTAGGGAGGTTTAGGAAGCGGCCAGAGAGCTTGAAGAAAGTCTGTCGGGGCTGATACGACTGGCGAATTCAACGTATCAGTAAGTCAAAAGTGTGGAAATTACCGAACTTACCCATGTACCCGAGAGGGTCCATGTATACTACTATTGTGGAGCCAAGTCCCTAAAACCATCATAAGGATAAGGACCCTCTGTGCAAGTGTAAGCTGGAGAACAAGGCACCTCAGGTCCCAGCCCGGCTTGGGGGCTCTGTTAGTCAAACTAGTGCTTTGGGGCGTGACATCATATGGGTGGTCGTCAAAATTATGGTCCCCTTTTGGATCCCTGTTATACTACGGCACCTATTATTTAGGGTACCCAAAAAGGGATCCAGATTTTGACAACGACCCAATGTGCAAGTACATACGAAGGGATACGGCACTAACTACTTCTTCGGACCCGTCGTTTTGTTTTCGTCGTCCTAGAGCATTTAGGGTTGTGCATTCTCCTTAACCCATCATGAAATTCCACACTCTGACTCTAACTGAAGCCCCCAAAACCCGAAATCAGGGTTTGGGAAGTAGTATATTAGGTTTAGGGCTTAGGGTTTAGGGATGACGATTCCGGGCTTCGGGGTGAGTTTAGGGTTGAGGGTCGAGGCACCCCGAACAACCCTCCTGGGGAACCCACCGCTGTGTAGGTTTCATCTGGGTCAGGGGGAGAAAAGACCACCCGATAAAGCCCCCGTAGTTTTTCAACGTCAGGGCTTGAGTGCTGACAGCACTCCCCGTTCGTAGGGCTAAGTGGGGCCACTTCCCTCGCAAAACGTTTGCGAAGCCCTCAAAGCCTAGAAAACCCTTCAAAGACCAAGTTCTTTTATGTCCTGCAAAACCCTAGAGCACAAACGCCTCAGGATCGACATGACGGCCGCTTCCTGCTGCACATCCGCAGCCTTGAGAATGACCTGGCTAGGTCTGAGGGTTTGGGCTTGGAGGCTTAAAACATGAGAGTACAGAGGTGAAGAGGTCCGGGTTTGGGCACTTTGGAAAGGAGGAAGAGTCTAATTCCCGAATACCTCCAATTAAACCCCATAAACCCTCAACCCCTTCCCCAAATACCCTAACCGCCATAAACCCGAAAGCCAAAAACCAAAGCAGGCGACAGAAGCCGAGGAGGGAAGTAGCCGCAAAAGCCGCGCTCGGGAGGCGGAGCGGAAATCTTTCCTTGATCCAGGCTTTAGGGCTTTCAGGGTTTAGGGTATATGTAGATTTGAGCGTTTAGGGTGTATATAGGGCTTAGGGTTTAAATGGGGTTTAGGCAGGGTTTAGAGTTTAGGGGCTTGGGGGCTTAAGGGGCTCTGGGGGTTTAGGGACTTCAGCACTTCGGAGCTCTTCCTTAAACTACCAAACCCTACTTTTTTGTAGGTTCTTATTATAAACCCTAATATGGGATGCATAGGGACCCTACAAAAAAGTAGGTTTTGGTAGGTTAAGGTTGGTTTAGGTGCTTAGGGGCTTAGGCACCTCAGGTCTTTGGGTTTAGGGTCTACCTATAGTCTCCATTGTAGTTCCTTTTTTGGGTTAACCAGTTTTATGGTTAGGACCCTATAATGGAGATTTATTTGGTTAACCAAAAAAAGGAACTACAATGGAGGCTATAGGTAGTGGTTTAGTAATTTTGGGGGCGTTTAGGGTTGAGGGCTTGGAGTCGGAGGACAAAAACTCCGTGGATTTAGAGTCCAGGGGCTTTGGGCTAAAGCAAAAGCCAGAAAGTTGGAATATGATCCTAACCCGTTTATGGTAAATTATAAGGTATCCTACCCTGAAACCATATTCCAACCTTCTGGAGTTCCCTTTAAGGGGTTTAGCGCTTCAGGGTTTAAGGAAGGGCTTTCCTTGAGATTTGCAGCTTTGGAGGTTGTTTCTGATTCCGTGTTACCACATGTAGGGCTTGGGTGGATTACATCCAAGCCCGGCAGATTATTGATGAAGCCTTTCGAAACCCTTCTAGATCCGTTACCAAAGACCTTTCTGATCCCATACCGTACCCCTTCAATTAATAGAGGGCTCGGGAGTAAAATTTCTTTGGAGGCTCAGGTCCCTACGGCCAACGGTGGAGCTTGCGCTTCTTGTCGCCTTTGGTGCGCGTGTTTCTGTTTTGCGTGGGCTTCCAAAGTCGCTTATTCGTAAGGGGCTAGACACTCACCAATGCCCTTGTAGCGAGTTCTTCTTTGTGCAACTATTAAGTGGCCAAGATGTTGAAATCATGGAAAATACGACCTGCAAGTAGGTAAGCTTTTACCATACCAAACCAAAACGATTTAGAGAACGAACTAGGAATCAGAAATCTGGCCCTTACACCACCAACCAGGCCAGCCCTTTACCCGCTAAGTTAAATTAAACCCTCAACAATGCTAAGCACTAAATTCAACCCGAACGAGCTACAGCCCCACACCCACTTGCGCCCAGTCTCTCCACAGTGATGGCCTGGCAGTCGGGGTGTCCCGGAAACCGCCTGAGTGCAACATAAACCTACAGAGCCCTGACGGCTGCCCCACAATCGGGTGCGAGGATTGTTCCTGCTCAAATCCGAAATCCGGCTTCACGTCTGTGCAGTGGCGTGATGTGGCTGTCATAGTACACCTATATACACCAAAACCCTATTCCCGCTGAAGTTCCCCCTGAAACCCTAAACCCTATACACCGAAGCCCTGTTCTGAATTTCAACCCCGCCGCGCTTGGAGGGCCGAGCTTAGGAAGCAGAGGATCTCCGAAGACCGGATTCTGGTTAAGGTCTATAAGGGATAAGGAGTTCAATTGAAGTTACCATAGTAATCGGGAGCCATATTATTTACTACAGATCCTCATTATGGCAATCATCTACCCTAAGGATCCATGCGCCCATGCGGTGCTCTGAAGGGTTTCATATATACCAGCTTCAAGGTCGAAGTGTCACAATATGTGGGTGCATGAACCCTTAGTTAGGGTACCAACGTGGGTGCCGCTATGATGAGCAAAGCGAGCTAGAACGACCACCCTTGTCCTTGTAGAAATAATAATAGACAGAGCCCTTAGTAGGAACTATTTACGAAGGTCTACTAGCCGGTCTGTTTATTCTTTTGGGGGAACCATGAAAAAGGACAAGGCTGAGAACGACCCGATCCAAGCCACAAGTCTCTGGGTAAAGCCAGAGTGTCACCCACCCGCTGCCGGAAGACCTGTGCAAGGCAAGGAGCAAAACGGGAATGAGAAATCAGAGGCACTAATGTAAAAACACATATATATATATATATATATATATATATTTCTGTGATATATATATATATATATGTATGTATGTATATCTACATGTCATGGCTTCAATAATTAACAATCACAAAGACACGACTACGTGCACACCACAAGTATCATGGGCGTCGAGATGACAAGGAGTTGTATGTGGGGCCAGCACTTTTGCCGACACTCGTAGACTTCCCCTTAGCAGCTTCTCGCAAGATCTGGACAAAAGCCTCCGCTCGAACGCTGCTATGACATATAATAGGGTTTCGGGTTCCGGGGGACAGGAATTCGCGCTCCTCCTCCCACCACGGCGATGCCGCGCCACCAGTGCCAGCGTCGAGGAGGGAAGCATGGGATCTGAAGTCAAGGTCAGGTGTAGGATGAAGAAGGCTTAGGGCTTGGGTTTAGAAGGCTACGACAAGCTGTGGAGGTTTAGGGCTTGGGATTTGGGTCTGTAGGGGGAGGGTCGGGCTTTGGAGGGGCTTAGAGGTTGCAGGGATGCTCTTCCTTACGTGACCCTAGCAGCCGCTCACTGGGGAAACCTGGGCTTGAAATTGAATTCGCTAGTTCTCGCAATGACTTGACATAAGCCAGCTTAGCATGGAGGCTTACCCTAAGGGTCCATGTACCCATATAGAGATACATGGGCCCCAAAGTACCTATATAGGGACTACATTAAGGCCAATGTATATACTATATGAGTACATGGACCCTTAGGGTTACATAATGAAAAGGGGAATGCTCATGCGTTCTGCTCATGACTGGCGGATTAGGCAGGATCTAGACTCGAATTTAGAGTGCAGACACAAAGCGAAGGGACACCTACACTCCGTAAACCCCCAAGGCCCTAAACACTAACGTAATAAATTCTGAGACCCCAAACGACTTTGGGAGAGAGTCTACAAATATTACCTGCACTGGGCGTTTTGGAGTGTTCGGGGAACTACAAACCCAAGACAAGACCACCGCGTCGTAGGGATTCAACCCTAAACCCTACACCCACTCCCTAGAGCTGACCCCCACCCCGTAGACCTTCATTCCCCAATCCAATTGCCCAAGTCAGCCCTACTCCCCTAGAGTCCTAAACCCTGAACCCTGTCCTAAACCCAACAACTGGTAAAGTATCACCTATTATAAAAGGCTATGACTACTTAACCCTGAACCCTAAACCTGACGCCCGGGTAAATCGACTGTGCGCTGGCCTGTCGAGCGGAGCCAGCACCAAGGCCTTCCGTGGGATTGGAATTGTCTCTCGGCTTGAGGGCTTTAGGGTTTCAGTACAGGGCTAGATTTAGGGTTTAGGGTTTCATGGGTTTACGGCTCAGGGTTGAGGGTCTGGGGGCTAGGATCATGCCCATACGGGCTGCGGCAAACTCTGGACCAGAAAGCAGCTCGGAGTTTACACACTGTTGATGATATAAATCAAGCATTAACTTAAGGACCCTAAACTATGGGAATTATGGTATATTCCTTATTATGGGTAATGCAAGATTTATATCATCAACCGTAGTCCCGACGAACACAATAAGGGCTAAGGGGCTTACTCCAGATGACTGTGTTCCGGCCTGCTGAGTCGTAGGAGGACAAGGAAGAATCTGCAGCAGCTTTGTCCTTCGCTGGCATAGCATTGCTCAATGCCTCTTTCTTCGTCACGCGTCTCTTGGGCTTCTTATCCTTGGGAAGGAGGCGGATTTCTCACCATCCAACATCTGCCACATCTTCAACCCATGCCTTACGAACTTGCCGTTGCAGTCCACATCGACGTCTGTTGCCATCTCAGGTTTAGGGTTTAGGGTCTAATTGCACTCATAATATGACGGCCATCATCCTTAGACAAAGTCTTGGGGATGTATTTTACTACTGGTTCCCCAGTAACTCCCGTAATAATGAGGACTCCCTCGTTTCCACTATTTGGTATTGATACGAGAACCCCAAGAAGAAAAGCGGACTACTAGGGAACCTACCCAAAGGCCCCAAAGTAGTTCATTTTTGGGGTTCATACATAGAATCCTACAAGGTAATCCCAAAAAGGAACTACTATGGGGCCTTTGGGTAGAGTGTATTCATAACCGGAACGCTAAGGAATTGCTAAGCCTTTGGGCTTCTAAAGGGAACTCCAGAAAGTTGGAATATGGTTTCAGGGTGGGATACCTTATAATTTACCATAAACGGATTAGGATAATCATATTCCAACTTTCTGGCTTTTACTTTAAACCCTTAATCGTCCCGAATCAAAAATCCAGATCCACAGCCTTTGATCCTATATACACGCTTAAACCCTAAACCCTAAACCCTAAACCCTAAACCCTAAAACCCTAAACCCTAAACCCTAAACCCCTAAACCCTAAAGCTTTTACTTTAATTGCACCTTCAAGGACCGACTCCCAGCACCTCGTTCGATCTTTGAGCCAGGGTTGTAGGGACTATAGGGGATGGATCTATAGGGCTTAGGGCTTAGAGGGTTCCTTTGAGGGCCCCTTTAGAGGATCTACAAGGGATACTATGGTACGATAAGGGGTTGAAGGGTTTGAGGCATTGACGGATGAGGGTTTCGGGCTGTTTAGGGAAGTTTAGGGTTTAGGGCTGTTTGGGGGGGGGGTTCCGGTTTGAAGTTTGGGGTTAAGGGCCAAGGGTATAGGGGTGTGTGTCTTTAACAAAGCCCGCGTCGGTGTAAAGTCGGGCCAAAGGTTGCTTTTTTGTCCAGGATTTATGACTGGGGCTTACCATGCCTACCTGGGCCCTAAGGAACCTACCTGTTTAGGGCCCCCTATTATGATTTCTTTATGTAAGTCCCTAAAAAAGTAGGTCTTTTGGGGCTAAGGTAAACCCTATTAAACCCTGAACCCCTATACGCGAAACCCTAAATAAGCTAAACTTTAGACCGGGTTTCGGGCGTAGGCCCGAGGATGAAACCACCAACCCAAAGTCTACGACTCGGCTCAAGCTTGATGGCGGTTTAGGGCTGAGGGTCCTGATGCCTGACTCCTGCTGATCCCTTATCGAAACTCTGACTGACCCTCGCAACCAAACCCCGTGAGAATCCCTCAGTTCTGGGAGGATAAGACTTGTCATCTGACTGCGCATGAAGGGTGGGAATAAGCCCGAGCTGGAACATGTGAAAATCCTATGCCCCTAGACCCGAACCTTTCCAAGCTAAACTCAGGATTTGCAACCCATGCTTGAATTCGAGACCCCGAAACTATAGACCTTAATTGGACCCCAAAGCCTTCAACCCAAACACTCCTCAATTCTTTGTCACAAACCATTCATGCTCCATAAGAAGCTTTTATGAATCCGCTGAGAATCCACAAGTTCCCTGTTTATACGCAAGCCTGAATCCTAAAACTAAACGCCTCGACCTGGTCTTCAAGCTTCTCCGGTGCAGGGCTGCTATCCTCCGGGAAGAGGACCTGTAAATATTGGGGCATTAGGGCTTAAGGTATTGGAGCATAGGGTTCAAGGGCAAATAAGGGATCAGGGTAATTATTAGGGTTTAAGGGTTCTTTCCGTCTCCAAACTTCTGGAAGCTTCTTCTGGTTCTCGCCAGTGACATTCGTGTTGTTGCTTAAAAACTGTCAGCATCACCACCCCCATCGTCATCGTCATAAGTAGTTGTCATGATAGGAGCAACAGGGAGTATCATTAGCAGTGAGGCTTTTTGTTGGGCTGGTGTCATTCAAAACTTTGTTGATGCATTCGGCAGTATTGCCATGACGATTTGCTCCCTATCCGTGCTGCCATGATCTACGTCAACCCTATCAGCCCTCGAGAGTACTGACCTGTCCTAGGAGCCTTTACAAATGGAGCTTTTATAGAGCTTTCAGAGGGCCCTCAGAATAAATAACTCAACCCATTCTTTGCATTGACATGCGGGCTCAGGATTTTCGGCCGCTTGAAAGGGCAGTACGCTGTAGGGCTTCAAGGGCTCACAGTGGATCGGAGGACTGACACCGAATCAATCCGAGAAGCTCCCCTCCAAGCCCTACACCCTAAGGCCTGGGGTTTGGAACCCTAAACCCTAAACCGAAGCTCTTAAGGGTTTAGAGCTCCAGGATGATGGAAGGGGTTCCCTTTAGGAACTCATGACCCTTCTATCGGCCCTAAACCGTTTCTGGTAGATTGGCCCTCAAGCCCTCTCAAAACTAGGGAAATGCAGCAAATGATCCTCGAAGCCCGGCGTGTTCTGCCTCAGGGGGTTCCTGATATACCAAGGTAGAGTGCTATGATATGGGGGGTTTCCGAAAATGGGGGACCCTAGTACAGTACCCTAAATATTCGGATCCTTATAATAAGGACCCCAAAATAAGGCGCCCCTAATTTTCGGAAACCCCCATATCACAAAAACCTATTCTAATGATCGAGGCGCCTTTACTACAATCCACAGCGAACTAAGGGACTATCTCACGGATCGTCTGACAGGCCTTTATTCTACACTCCTTTAGTACCCCTGAAAGGAACCCCATTAAGATTTCTTAAGGACCCATAGAAGCAGCTAAAACACAACCACATGGTCTGGACATCCCATAATCCACCTTTCAGGAAAGCCGACAAGGCTGGGCTATATGTCTGGGTGCAGTTTTGGTTCCTGAAAATTTTACGGCCGGGCCACCCTCAACCCTAAACACTAACTAACCCCAAAAGTGAATAAAAACCTACAAAAGGCTGTGATTCTACATACTTTCCCATGGGTCCCTGAACCCTAAACCCTTCAACCCTCAGCACTTTTGGGGTTTGGGTATATCCTTAATGGGGCCCCCGTTTTAGGGCCCTAAACCATACACACCAAAGACTGATAACAGGGTCCCATATTAAACCCTAAACCCGAAAACCCTAAACTCCTAAACCCTATAACCCGAAACTCCTCTACTCCTAATTAAACCCCTATAACCCTAAACTCCTAAGTAACCCTATAACCCTATTGCCCTAAACTCCTAAACCCTTAAACTCCTAAACCCCTAAACTCCTCAACCCCTAGACTCCTAAACCCCTCAACCCCCCTTTTCAGCGCCTGCCTCTGGAAGCGGCAGCCCGGACAGCAGCGAGGTTCCGCTCTCTGGCCGGACGTCGCCGTCCATGCGAGCGCGTTCGGGGCGGCAGAGGAGTCCATCCGCCACGTCGCCCTGGGGTTTAGGGTTGAGAGCTTTAGGGTTTCGGGTTTTAGGGTTTAGGGCTTTAGGGTTTAGACTTTACCAGCACCCCCCGAAGTACTCCTTAATAGAGCCCCTGTGGTCCTGAAAAGTGGGTATTTGAGGAAAAATAGAAGGTAGTTGGGGGGTTGCTGGTTGAGCTGGTTGTTTAGGGTTTAGGGTTGAGTTCTGGCTGACAGGTTTCGGATCAATACAAATTTCGACCAAGATTCGGACCGGCCCTCACCTATTTGTGCCCGTGGTGGGGGCTCTGCAGTTCGAGGCAAGCGCGGCTTCCCGTCCCGATTGACGATACGTGAGGCATCCAGGGCCAATCCAGGGAAAGCAGGACTACCCTTTACCCTAAACCCCAAACCCTCAAACCTAATTCCCAAATGGTACACCAAAACCTAAAGCCTAAAGCCAAAACCCCACGTAGCTAGGCTGGCGAAACCGCCCTCTCAATAGGAGATCTATGCTCCCGGTGGGGGACTACAGGTTAGCCGCTGGGAGCAATATTGGGATTATGTCAAGGTTACCTACTCTCGACCTGTCCGGAAAGGATGGCCTCGGGTTTATGGTTTTGGGGTACATCAAATCATACCTGAGAAGAAGAACAACGACAAAACCAGATATTCGTAGTACTACTGCAATGAAGATACCTACGGCAGTAACAAGACCACTAACAATTAACAATGAGAATGAAATACACGAACAATTCATGATGAGAATGATATACAGGTGGTCACCATCATCATCATCAGAAGGCGACACACCCTCGGACGGCACTCGCTGCGCCAGCAGATGCCAGCGACTTTTTCGCAGAAGTGCTACTCCAGTGTAGACAGCGTAGACTCTTTAAAAACTGGAAGCTGCAAACGCTGGGAACATAAAACCACCCAGTCCCTTTGCAGCATAAGGCAGGAGGGGGATAGAAAGAGCGCACCTTCCACCACCTAAGACTAAGACCTGCTATAGGGGCCTTTTGAAGCAGTACAACGGCCCCCAAAAATTGTACTATATTTATAATAATAAGAAACCCCAAAATAGTATAGGCGATTATTATCGATCCCTTATAGTAACCCTTATAGACCCCTTAAAAAAAGACATTCTAACTATCAAGGCCCCTATACTACACATGTTGGCTTCAGGTAAAGCTTTTCGCTCCTCACTACCAAGCTAAAAGTGTGCGACTTCGTCGCGGTGAGTGCCACACCCAAAGGGTCCAAGTACCAGTATGGACCATTACAGTAGGGTTTAGGGCTTAGGGAGGGTCCAAGTACAATTATGAACCATGAAAGTAAGGTTTAGGTTCAGGTTATAGCAGGTATTTGGGCACCCAAAATATGTACTATACCATTACTTGGCCCCTTTGGGAGATTCGGGCATGTGGTAGCAGAAATTACAAGTTGCCGGCTCGTACGGCCGACAGAATGTGCATCTCTCCTCGAAACAGAGCCCGCTCCACGTTAGCTCTGCTCAGAGGGAGATGAGCGTCTTCCTGTTCTTCGGATTCCTAGTTCTTGGTTGGGATAGTATAAAAGGTATAAGTTTAATTCCTTATTCAGTTTATAGCACCCATAACAATAGTAAAATGCTACCCAAATATGACAAAGATTCGAGCGCATCTGATCTTCTGTTACAGAAGCTGTGGGAGTCGCCACTGCAGGCGCATGCAGGCCAACATCCTGGTTTGGCTCTGATCCTGCTCCGGGCGTCTTGGAAGTGCCCTTGCTCTTCGCTGTCGTCTGGGATATTTCAGACTGGCTTTTGGTGTGGGTATCGCCGATGTTCTCCTTCTTCTTGACACCTGAGTGGAGTTTCAGGAGTTCTAGGACGTGCTCGTCCTGAAGCCAAGCGCCCAAGACGTGGGCCTCCTCCTCCGGCACCTCCTTGCTCTTTTTCTCCTTCTTGGCCTTCCCATTCTTGGACTCCTGTCCTGGGTCGTAGTTTTGGTGCTCTGAAAAGTACTTATGAAGAGGTACCTCTATAGGATTCATATAAAGGGAAATTTAAACGTTCCTCAAATTGCCACCTAGTGTCTGTCTTGCTGGTCTTTCTGAGCACTTGGAGAGCGGCTCGTTGAGAGAAAGTTCAGCTTCTGGACGCGAGTCTCTACGTCACATCTCTCGGTCCGACCATTCGCGGTGAAGTAGTCATCTGAGTCCGGTCCATGCCCTGTGTCCATGGCCATGTCACTAGACTTGGCTAGACTGCAAAACTGTGGCACGGCGATGCGTGCCCTTGGCGCTGTGGCCCGAACCCTTTTTTGGGACGGCTGCGGCAGCAGAGTCTGGCGAGCTATCCTTTGCCGATCAAAGCCTGACCCTCATGCGGCAGAGGGAGGGGGAGACACAACCAAACAGAGATAAACAACACCAACACGTAAAGGGAGAGTGACAATGACAAAACGAGGCTATAATCAAGGATCCGAGCAGGTTGGAACAGGGTCTGTCGAATATCCGATGTTCATCATGCAGAGGCCTCATTAACTGGGAAAAGGCTTTGCAGTACACTATTGTGTATCATCCCATAATTTCATTTTCAGGTACTAGAGATCTTTGGAGTAAAATTATTGTAGATCCCACCACAACTACATTTTAGATAGGGGTGTGGGGGATTTTATGCATACGGCACCAGTTTGCAGGGTAGCTGACTTCGCAAAAGCTCTCCCCTTTCTTCTTCAAGAAGCGGGTCCAAAGAGTTCAAACTTTCTAAGACCAACCATCTGCATATATTTGTCCATGTACGTACACATTTATATTGAGCATATATATATATATAGAGGAATAAGTACTTGCATATATGTCGTTAAAAAAATAAACTGAAATTCCATTGGCGATCTCTGCTCCAGCTCTGATGCCATTCTTCTAGCCCGACAGAGTGGGATCAGGGGTTAGGAGTTTAACTATGTAATTAGCAGGACAACCCCCAAGCCAACATGTTTTTGCGCTTCCGAACACATGGAATGTAATTTTGTAGTTTCCCTCCAAGCCTGTACTAGCTGAAGGCCCCGAGAACCCACTGACAACTAGCCTTGAACAAGACCCTCTTCAACATAATAACGGGGTGTATCACATGACGCAAGGGACTTCATCATGGGGCTTAAAACACAGTATACCTTACACCTACTAGGCTATAGATCCTGGTATGTCTAGCGCCGGGTTAAGACCAGGATACTGAAGAATCGCGTGGTGTTCGTCATCTGGCTTACGGCATACTATGACTAACTGTTCGACTCCCAAATAGCATCCCGGCAACTACAGCCCCGAACACCACCTACACCCTAAACGCTACAGTCCAGACCCTAAACTAAACTCCAAACTCCTGACCTAGACCCTAAACTCCAAACCCCAAAGCCACGGATTCGATATAAACCCTGAACCCCTAAACCCAAACGCCCTAAACGTGCTGCCTGGCAAAATGTCGCGGCTCTGGTGCGGGCGAACCAGCCCACAGCTTCGAACGAGTTATATAAATGTATACACATAGCATATGTAGATGTTGTGCACAATGTATGTGTATACATATATATATATAATTCAAGCTTACTATTGTATCTATAAAATACTGTAATAATGTACAATATTTTATATGGTTATGATATACATGTACATAGGTCATATTATAGGGTCTTAATATCTCATGTACCTTTTGTGGTTTGGGGGGTCTAGGGTTTCGGGGGTCATTCCCTACCTACACTGTTTGGGGATACCTACGTACTGTGCTATATAGCAGATCCGAGCCATAAACTAGCTACCCTGAAAAAGCGGTAGTGTATGACCCTGTAGGTAGAATTAAAGGTAGTATATTATGTCATGATTGAATCCATCGCGGCTGAAAGGGAGTATCATGTTACTAGGTCTTCGGAAATCGCGACACTGGAGTACGGATCAACAACTTCGAATATTTGAGGCTTATGGGATTTAGGGCTGCGTTCCTTTCGTGGGTTGAAAACTGTCAAGGTTTAAGGTATCTTGACGTACATAGGCTTGATCACTTGAGCCAAAGTGTTGCGAAGATCTAGGTGAATTGAGGGTTGCTGGGTTCTATTTAATTTCAGTCACCATAATAGGGTTCTACAGAAACTAACATGGTTTCCTTGTAACTGTAACTACACCCCTTTACAAGAACCCTGGTTGGGGATGCTGCGTTCAGGTACTGCCTCCTGTAGCATTTGCTGTGACATTTGATGCCGGGACTTGGGATGTCCTGCTTCGTTTTGCCGGGCTTGAAACCAGTTATAACCAGCGTTGAGGGCAAAAGGCTTCCACTGACACGAATTGAACAGGAGCAAAACATCACCTGAGGCCATTGCGGACAGCGAATGCTTCAGAACATCCACGGTACATCTTTTCGCCACCTGTGCGGGAGAGAGGTGCGAAACCCTCGCTTGACCAGTCTAAACGCCAAAATACATCCCTGTGCCCCTGAATCCTCAACTCCCAAACTCCTAAAACAGTTCCAATAAGAAGCGCGCGAACCTCTTCGCATGCATCCTTGGTAGGATTTAGGACCATTTAGGTTTTAGGGCTAGGGACGACCCAGCCACTGGTCGCACCGTTACCCTCCCCGCATCGAAGACGCTCGACGCGATTATTAGAGACACCCTGGAAGGTCTAAACCCTCAACCCCCCTAAGCCTCATACTCTGAACTTTCAACCCTAAACCACATAATTCCTAAACCTAAACTCTAGACCGTCAACCTTGAACACCTTCAATTCCCTAAGGGTCCATGTACTCATATAGTATATACATTGGCCTTAATGTAGTCCCTATACAGGTACTTTGGGGCCCATGTATCTCTATATGAGTACATGGACCCTTAGGGATTAGAGCAAGTGGACTCAGTGATTTTGGGATCTACTCTTCGCAGGGTTTAGGCTTCTAGGGCTTCAAGTTTTAGGGTTCGGGGTTTACGATTTGGCAGGGTTTAGGGTTTAGGGTTTATGGCCGATTTGGGATTTATAGGACTTCGGGCTTCAAGGGTTCAGGAATCACCTGCGGGCCCAAACCCTACATTTCTGTAGCTTATGACCCTGAATTTTCGAGTAGAAGCCCCAAAAAGCAGTAGACTCAGTAGGTCACTGGGAACCCCATAATCCCAAGCTCCAAACCCTACAGCCTAACGCCCCAAACTCTAGAACAGTAGGGCATACGGTCCTCGCAGAGGGTGTCGGGCCTCCTCAAAACAGGGTTTAGGGCCCAGACCTTCCAAAATCCCTTAAGTAAGGAATATCCCTTAAATTATAGTAGGATCCTTAATATGATTTAAGGTATATTCCTTAAGGTCTGGGGGTTTAGGGTCGAAAATTCTAACTAAACTACAGCAACCTACTTGCTTAACGGTGGGTCCTGAGTGCTATAAACCCCGAAATCTAATGCAATCGAAGCGCTTCAAAGGAGTAGCTTTTGGTGGATGAAGGTAAGCTCTTCCTAGACCTCTAAACCCCATAAAAACTCGGAGCCCCTACACCCTACACACCCTAAACCCCTAGAGTAACCTTAAAGAAACCCTTGCGACGCAAACCTAAGGAGCCTCCTCAAAGAGTCGTTCATGGCGCTGTTGGGCCAAAGCAAAGGAGTAGAGGAGCATCGAGAAGTTCATCGGCTGGAACCTTTTCTAGGTGGGGCTTTTAAAGCTTTTGAAAAATATTAGTAAATAAGATCCTCTTAAGCCCAATAAGGGAAAATACAAAATGTCCCAAAGCCCTACCTAGTTTTTGGGTGCCTTTTAAGGCTTCTGTTCTTGCAGGTTCTGTAGAGCCTCCTGTGGTTCGATAACCTATAAAGGCGGTATAGTGGTTCTATAGCCCTCTAATAAGGAAGAAACTCATCAGCTGTGACATCTTTAGTTTTCTCTGGGTTCAGGACTCTTTTTGGGCCTCGGGTTCATCGAAGGACAGTGTATGAAGTTCCCGACGAGAAGGGCTCTAATGTAGGCCTCCAGAATTAACACGGCTGGCACCTCTTACGGTACTTACTGTTCCTTTCGGGTTCGGAACATGACCCTGAGCCCTCAGCTTTGGGTTTAAGATTCACGGTCCGGGGGTGTGGACAGGCTGGAACTGTTAAGGGTGCCTTCTCATGCTCTTCTACGCTTTCTGGAAAGGCTCTACAAAGGCTCTATCAGCCTCAAACCAGTACACCCTAAACAGCAGGTAGAATCTGGTGGGGCTTCAAGTTCATAGTTTTGGGCCTGGTGCCTGTGGCAACGGGTCCTCTTGGCCCTGAGCTACTTGTTCGCACAGTGGCCAAAATGCGATGAGGTGGCTTCAGAATAGCCGACAATATTACCAGAATCACGGAACTTAGACTCAGAGCCCTTCGGTAAGAACCATCGTTCGGAGGTCGAGTGACTTCTTGAGGCAGAGACAGAGAGCAGTTTGGGGCTAAAAGGCTGAGGGTTTAGGGTTCAAATCCTCAAACCAAGCCCTAAACCTTATGAGCCCTAAACCTCAAACCTTAACCCTGCAGCCCCTTCCCTTGAGGCTCCGTGTGCCTATTTATTTTATGCTGAAGCCTTCAAGTACCTGCATGGGAACCCCTTGTAAAGCCTAAATGCATAGTAGATAGGTACATGGGATAGGTTCCATAGTAGCCCCTTGACAATAATGAGGGTACTCTTTTCGTTGAATAAGGGGAACCCCATACAAAAAGGGACAAAAGGGTACTACTCAGGAACCTAGTAGACCCTAAGCCCCCATAGATCCCTTATGGATCCCTTACAGAGCCCTGTAAGGAGCCCTTTAAGCAACAACTATACCCTAAGGGTGCAAGGACCCAAATAGTAGGGTTTCAAGGTCCAAAAACCATTCAGAGTATGCAATTTGGGCTCTGAAACCCCTACTATTTGGGTACTTGGACCCTCTCGGATAGATACCCAAAGGCCCCAAAGTAGTTCCTTTTTGGGGTTCATATATAGAATCCTATAGGGTAATTCTCAAAAGGAACTTCTTTGGGGCCTCTGGGTAGGCACATGGAGTCCCTTTTCTTCAACAAGGCCCGAGTGACTTCTTGAGCTGTAAGATGGCTTGCTCCGCTGCCTGCTCGAAAAGCTCCTCCGGCTGGTTCCAGCGATGAAAGTTCAAGGTTTAGTATAGGGTATGTATATATATATATATGTATGTATGTATATATATATATATATGTATAGGCATGAGGGCGTAGTGCTTGTGAATAAGTGTCGCCATGTGTGGCTTTGCTGCGGGGATCGAGTGTGAAACTCTGTTCTCGGATGCTTTGAGCGTGTCAAGGTCTGCAGGCTAAGAGGACCCGTGCTCGGACTTGGAAGGCTCCGAAGGCTTATGGGGTTTGGGTTTTACGGTTTAGGTTTAGGGTTGATGGGTTTGAAGTTTAGGATTTAGGTTTAGGTTTTAGGGTTTAGGGTTTCGTGTTTAGTTTTTGGGTTTCAGTTCTTGTCCTTTTCACGGCTTCGGTGTTGAGATTTAGGCTGCCGAAGCCTCGTCCACGAAGCCACACTTTGCCATGGCCCATGTGGTGTTCGCCTGGCAGCACTTTGCACTCATGCTAGTGCTAGCAAGGCAAGTCTAACCTCTAAACCCTAAATTCCTAAAACCCTGCAGCCCTAAAGCCATAAACCCTAAACCCTGGTCCCAGACATGCAACGAGGCAGGATGGCAATCTGCTGCGGCTCAAAGTACTTCATCTGGCTCTTCACCTCGTGCTACTATTTGAGTTTTGGGTTTACGGTATAGGTGTCGATTTCAAGAGTCCCCAATATTCTTCATAATTAGGGCTGTATATTAGACTTATAACGGAAATTGAAGTTATTCCGAATCAGTACTTAGTGTGATATAGGGGACACCATAATTATCAAGCATAATTTTGCATAGCCGTATCGTTGTATTCAGAATCCTAAGGATTACCATCGGTAAATCGACCTCTGCATGGGCGATATCAACTTGTCGGATGGTTTGAAGTCGTGAATGCGCAGGAGTTTTTGGATTTGGAGAGATGCAGTCGCGGAGGGTGCAATATAGTAGCCTGAATAAGCACAACATCTCACAACTACTACTTATTCAGTCCCCTCCGGGGGTCTGGGTTCCCCCCCCAATCATCTTTCATGTCGACACTTGAAGCTTGTAAGATAACAGGGTTTAGGGCTTAGGGGTTTAGGGTTTAGGGGTTTAGCGTTTAGGGGTTTAGGGCTTAGGGTTTAGGGCCTTCCTAAACGCGCCCAGCACGGAAGCCTGAAACCTTCACATCCGAAGAAGCCCGGCATCGGAGGAACCCAAACCTGCGAATCCTAAACGCATGGCCCAAATCCTGAACCCATGTGGGTGGTTGTCAAAATTAGGGTCCCTTTTTTGCGTCCCTATTATAATACGGAACCTCTAATTAGGGTACCCAAAAAGGGACCCTAATTTTGACAACCACCCATTTTTGGAAAACCATCATATGACCCAAAATTCTGCGAATCAAAGACTGTAAACTTCAAACCCCAAATGCAAATGCCTAGACCCCAAAACCCTACATATCCCATGTTTGCGGTAGACTTGGTTTTCGGGAACCTCACGGAGTAGTTCTTCTGATAGGTCTGCCAGGCCCTCCAACCGCAAACCCGCAAACCTTAGAACCTACGCCTGAACCTCTCTAACGGTTGCACCGAGCCCGACACCCTAAAAAACACCCGAAGACCTGTATTAAAACTCGATCTATACCCAGACCGAAAAAACCCTAAACCCTAAATCCTAAAACCAACCCCTAAACCCTAAATCCTAAAACCAACCCCTAAACCCTAAATCCTAAAACCAACCCTTATAAACCCTAAATCCTAAAACCAACCCTTATAAACCCTAAACCCTCAACCGTGCACACCTGCATAAAAAACTCTACCCTAAACCCTAAACCCTAAAAAACTCTACGGCCCCGGGTTTCCCCGAGCCGACCTCCTGAGCCGCTGCTCGCAGCAGTCGCTCGTCGGAGAGGCCCGACCTGCTAAGAGAAGTCTTACAAGCTAGGGTACCCAGTAACCTAAGACTAAAAAGGCATCCCTTTTTGGTATTGGGTAACTTTATAAGGAACCTAGGACTACAAAGAGGGAATGAGGGTACTACTCGGCATCCTAGCAAGGGTTTAGGGTTGAGACTTTAGGGAATTTAGGGTTTTTGGAATTTAGGATCTTTTTGGGGTTTAGGGTTTATAGGGCTTTAGGACTAAGAGAAGTCTACAATCCAAGGGTAAAAGGAGGGACCCTTGATAAGGACCCCTAGGTATATACCCTTAATATAGCTATTCTATACCCATTATATGGCCCATTATAGGGTAGGGTTCCCCATTAAGGGTCCCTCCTTTTCCCTTTTGATACAAAGGTTTAGGCTTGAGACTTTAGGGTTTTAAGGGGTAAGGGGTTTAGGGGGTTTAGGGGGCTTAGGGATTTAGGAGTTTAGGGGCTTAGGGGTTTAGGGGTTTAAGGTTCAGGGGTTTAGGGGTTTTGGGCTTAGGAATTTAGGGTTTTTTTGGGTTTAGGGGTTTAGGGTTTAGGGGTTTGGGAGTTTAGGGTTTAGGAATTTAGGTTTTTTGGGTTTGGTGTTCTCGGGGTTGAAACCCGGAGCTTGAGGCGTTCTGTTCTTAATCAAACCAGGAAGGTAAGATGGCAATTCCGTGCATGATGTTCAAGTCCAGTCCAGAACCCGGAACACAGATGCCATAAACCGCGGCGGAGGGCTTATATGGCTTGATGCTTGTGGTCTAGGGTTTCTGGAAAACGCAATCTTCCAAAAACCATCGAACACTGCGGTGTTGCTGCACAGACCCATGGACCCCCACAGAAATATCATAAACTGCAAAAGGCTCCCCGGACCAGTTTCCCTCTCTTGCGAGATTCGGGATCAGGCCTAGGGTTCTGGGCAGCGTTCCCAGTAGCTCTCCGAAACCCTACCTATAACCATTGACCCTCAACTCGCAGCCCTATAAACCCTAATCACACCTTCAGCCCTAAACCGCAACTCAACCCAAAGCCCCGCGCCTTGCGAAAGCCCACAGCGTCATGGAGAGATTGACCGGCTGGAAAGAATCAATGCGCACCCTGGCAAACTTTAGCTGCCGGAAACCATGAAGTTTCGGGGTCGGGTTTATAAGACTAGCAGACTCCTGAAAAGGCTACTTATAAATCCTGCCGCTTGAAAAGGACACGTATATATCCTGCAACTTGAAAAGGACCCTTATAAATCCTGCCACTTGAAAAAGGCTACTTATAAATCCTGCAACTTGAAAAGGCTACTTATAAATCCTGCAACCTTGAGGATTGAGTCCACCCAACACACCACTCACCTGTGTTTATTCCACAAATGGTGACTATAATTTGGCTATCATAGTATCCCCAAGCCACAAACTCTGTACACCCTAAACCCTAACCCTAAACCCTACATATCTCTGGTGCTAGAGCCTGTACTCAACCCAACCCTCAAAAGCACCCAAACCCTACGCACCTCAGAACCCTGGAATCCTATACCCAAAACCCACAAGACTTTACGAAATCCTGCAGCCCAAAAGGCACCAAAACCCTACACCCAAAAATGCAGTGTCATGAGCATGCACTGGAGTGCACCACCGCACACAAACTACTCAGACCTGTCAATGTTGATCAATCGAACAAGCATTTTCTATACGGTTTAGGGTTTACGAGGCTTTTGTTTGCAACACCTGGTTTCTCCCATCCGCCGTGGTCTCTCTTAGAAAACCGAGGAGGGTGCTAGTCGGCTGGGACGGTTTCGGATTGCGGCTCAGCGTTTAAGGGTTTAGGGCTCCGGGTTTTGGGGTCTTTTATAAGGTTTATAAAGGGTTCTAGGGTTTTAGTTTAGACCCTAAGCCTTATATAAACCCTAAACTTGAAACCCAAATACTCTTAAGCTTCAGAGTCCTCGAAGCCCTAAACATAGGAGCCCCCCACACCCCCCGAAAGCTGCGCCGAGGCAGACAGGATTCGATCCGAAAGCCTCGGCTTGGGGAAGATGCCGCCGGGCTTCGGGGAGCGAGGCGGCTTGTTGCTGGCTCTTTTGTTGGATCGAGGCCTTAAACCCTAAACCCTAAACTGCTTGGGGGGAAGTAAGTCAGTTTCGATTTCTGTTTATTGTTCGTAAAGTTTGATCTAAGGTGATGTGTTTCACAGGCTTTTATGGGCTTTGTGCAGATATTGGGTCTCACAGCTGTTTAAGTAACATTTTCCATGTACATGTTAAACTATATATACATATATATCTATACACGTATGCATATATTTTCGTTTCTGTTTTAGATACACATATTTTTGGAGTAAAAGCATAAGTAAGAGCTGCACCTTACAAGCATGACGAGCTCACAGCATTCGAGTTTAGGTTTAAGGTTGAAGTTGAAGTGCATTGAGAGTTGAAGGGTGGGGGGGGGTCCTGTGCGAAATAAGTCCTCTGGCCCTTAGAGGCCTTAGAGCCGTGGGCTTCCAGATCCCACAAGGCAAAACGCCCCAAAACCCTCGTAGTGTAGTCCTAGAGTGCCGGAGCTCTCAGCCATCTAATCCCCACGCCTACGCCCTAAACCCATCTAATCCCCACGCCTACGCCCTAAACCCAGAACTCCAAACCCCAAAGTGTTTGCCCATTTCCCCATGCACCGGAAATTACACAGACTTCCGACTCCCCACAACGAAAGACTATTATTAAACACCCGCGACCAAAACCATGGCCCCAGTCCCAAGTCATCCCATAAACCCGGTTTAGGGTTTAGTGGTTTAGGGTTTGGGCGTTTAGGGTTCGAATTCAGTCCTACTTGTCGGGTATCATGGGAAACTAAAGGTTAACCTTTTTGGTTATATAGGGATTATATATACCCCAAAAAGGTTAAAGGCTACTACTACTACTACTACTACTACTACTACTACTACTACTACTACTACTACTACTACTACTACTACTACTACTACTACTACTACTACTACTACTACTACTACTACTACTACTACTACTACTACTACTACTACTACTACTACTACTACTACTACTACTACTACTACTACTACTACTACTACTACTACTACTACTACTACTACTACTACTACTACTACTACTACTACTACTACTACTACTACTACTACGGAGGTCCCATAAACTCTACAGTAAGCCCCAACCCCAATCCCAAAGCCCCGAAAGCCCGGCGGACTCTAAACAATTCCAACCCTGGACCTGAAGTCCCTAGGGTTTAGGGTTTAGGGTCCTACATAAACTTTAAACCCTGAACTCCATATATACTACATAATATACTGTATACTATACTACAAAATACCCTACATAATATAACATAGATTATACTTTGGTAAAATACTATGAAAGACACAATATAATATACTATATATATATATATATAATATTATACTATATATTATACTATATATTATACTATATCCCATGGCCCAGGGGCAGCGAGAAAAGCAGCGTGTTTTGAATTCCGAGCTTGGTGAGTCCCCAGGCCACGTTGGAGAGGTCCTGGCAGGAACGTTACGAAAACAGACCAAGCACTTTTCTAGAATCCCCATAGTAACTTCGGTAGCTCTATGAAAAAATGAACTTACGACCGCCATAAGGGATAAAAGAGCCGACTGGGAGGCCTGATAAAGAGTTTCGTTTCAATCCTTTGTGACTGGCCTGCAGCCGCTTAGAGTCTGCCAGCCGCCTTACCCGATAAAACGCCGGGTCCTGCGGCTTCAGGAATTGCGGATCCGTCTTTCGAATCGTCTCCGACAACCTCTTAGCAGGTAGAGGGGTCAGGGTTTACAGATATTCGGCGCTACATGTACGCAGGGGTCGACAGAGTGCAAAGCCCAAGTCAGGCTGGTTCTGTTCTGCGCCGAGGTTGCTAGGAGCTGCAGTTCATGCTTAGAGTGTTTGGGTTGGCCAGCTTCAGGCTAACAGCCCCATTACCATCCTCAAACCTTCTACACTGTAGCCTGCGCCCCAGCCCGAAACCCTACAATCCAACCCACCAAAACGCTGATCCAAGACATCCGCGCTAAGCCCAAGGCCCTAAACCCTAAGTCCTAAACCCTTATTCGGCTTAAAGCCCTCGAAACCTATGAAGCTCATTTACCTAGAAATCTCCCCCCTACCCAGAAAAAAAACGAATCCTGACTCATGCACCGTCCACCGGTTTAACAGAAGATCCTTACCGTCCCGGGACGCGTGACCCTGAACTGCGGGATCAGCCCCAAGCCCCGCAAACATGGTACAGCCTCAAGCTCAAAAAGAGTTGAAATAGGGTTTTGGGGGTTTAGGGTTTGAAGGTTTGGGGCTTTAGGGTTTAGAGTTCAGGTTTTTTTTGGGATAGAACTTTTTGTTTCTAAAGTTGGGATGACTTGCTTTGTTCGCCGGCCCAATGTCGGCTCCCAAACTCAGGGTTTGAGGTTTGGGGGCTTAGGGTTTAGGGTTTCAGGGTTTGAGGGCTTAGGGTTTCAGGGTCTAGGGCTTTAGGGTTTAGTGGGCTTGGGGATCACCTGGACCCCCTCAAAAGTATGTAGAACAACTGTCTTTTTTAGGTGCGGCCATACCTGTGCCTACTTTTGAGTGTTTGGGGCAGAGTAGGATTCAGGGCCTTTAAGGATTGAGGTTATGTGCCGAAAGCCGGAAAAAGCCTTCAAGAACTAAGCCATGCAGCAACATCACCCTTGAGATCCCGATCCTGAAACCCTAATCGTTGAGGGGTTTAGGGTTAGGGGTGCAGGGCCTAGGGGTTTAGGAGCTTAGGGTTTAGGGGTTCAGGCCTTGGGGTTTAGGGTTACAGTAGAAGCCAGAAAGTTGGAATATCATTATCGTAGCCCCTTTAAGGTAAATTATAGTGTCTCCTACCTTGAAACCATATTCCAACTTTCTGGAGTTCCCTTTAATCCCAAACCCTGAATCCGGACACGGGAAGAACCGTCGCTGCCTGTTCACCAGACGCTTGAAGCGAGGATCGCGACGCAACCCCGCCTCATTGCCAGGGAAGAGCCAAGAGGCATTTACCCAGAGGCTCCATAGTAGTTCCTTTTTGGGATTACCTTATAGGATTCTATATATGAACCCCAAAAAGGAACTACTTTGGAGCCTTAGGGTACGGGGTCTGAGTTTTGGCATGTTGTGTAGTCTCAGGGGTTGTCAATATGGAAGTCCTTCCGAGCTGCGCGGCCCATCATATAGGGGCTCGGAATAATTAGTGATGAGCTCCTCTCACAGTCCCCGTAAGCATACTGTAACTTACCCCCAAATCCCAATCTAATCATTCACTAAGGCCTATAATCTGCTTGCCTCCGACAGCCGCAGATGTTGTTTTGATTGATGGTTGGTTTGCAGATTCGGGGCTGACTGTCGCAAAATCCACAAAACCGTGGTTGATGTTGGCCTCCATTTTACGAGCCTAAAGGTCTGCAGTACTGTTTAGCGACAGCCTTAAAACGGACCCTGAACTATAATTTGGACCTGCTTCCAGGCCGTCACGGAGTCTCTAAACCCTGATCCCCAAATAACCTACCTTTTGAAAGACTTAGACAAGGAAGTCATAATCAGGAACCCAAAAATGCAGAGTTCAGGCAAGCCCTGAGCGAAACAGCCCGGTGATCGAGCCTCCGCACCTTGCTCACTCTGACGGCTAAACGAACTTATGAATCTAGGCGCCAAACTTCAGCCCTGCGCCCCGCCCCCCCCCAAAAAAAACTTGAAACCGGAAACCTACAGCCTCAGTGCTGCCTCCATAGTGCGGGCCCAACCATAAGGGTGCCCGGTCCTTCCCTTTAGGGTTTCGGCTTGTCGGTCGATGCCTTAGTTTTGGGGTTAAAGGTTTGGGGGTGCGAGGAATCATCATCCTGTCCCCGTCCTCTATATATTGAGGTCTTTCGGGTTGCGGGTTTCGCAGTTGAGGGTCAAGGAATGATCTACGTTCACCGGGACCACTCAAGGTATTTCTTCTTAATAAAGCCCCCTAGTCCCAGGGACTCGATACTTGGCGGATAACAAGACCTGTGCAGTAGCTGGGTCACTGTCAAGAAGGAAGGACAAAGTACACTCTTTATGGACTCCCCCATGGAAACTCATGCGGAAACCCACACCACAAAAAGGAAAAAGGACTCCTAGCTTGACCAAGGTGTAACGCAGAAACACTTCAGGCCTTCTTGGAGGCCAGTGAGATCGCCGCCAAGCGGTGGAGTGCTGTGATGAGGTTGACCGCCTAAGACTCAAGTATTCGGACTGGCGCTCGGTATAGGGGCCTTGAATAGGGTTTAACTTAACCTACCAAAACCTACTTTTTTGTAGGGTCCCTATGCATCCCATATTAGGGTTTATAATAAGAACCTACAAAAAAGTAGGGTTTGGTAGTTTAAGGTATGGTTTAGGCCAGGAGGACCATCGGGGAAGATCTTGGGTTCTGACTATTCGGAGCCTGCCCATACGCCTTACCCTAAGGGTCCATGTACTCATATAGAGATACATGGGCCCCAAAGTACCTATGTAGGGACTACATTAAGGCCAATGTATATACTATATGAGTACATGGACCCTTAGGGTTACATTGAGCTACCAAAACCTACATTGTAGGGTTAGGGCTCGCAATGGGCACCCAGAAAAAGAGTAAGTTATGGTGGCTCAAGGTCTCGCCTGTGGGGCTTATAGAACCTCCAGGTGTATGGGGTTTTGTGGGGTTTGGGGTCCTGAAGCTTCGGTCGATGCTTTGGCTTCGCGACTAGGTTTGTGCTCCGATCTGCAGAATAGGACAGTAAGCTGACAGGTCTTGGTTTACTTTAGGGTTTAGGTCACTAAGGTGCAAGGATTGGTGGCAACTGCAACCCCAACCGACAGAAGCGAGAGAGGGCCGTCGTTTCTGTCAGAAGCAACCCCTAAGGGTCCATGTATACTCATATAGTATATACATTGGCCTTAATGTAGTCCCTATGTAGGTACTTTGGGGCCCATGTATCTCTATATAGGTACATGGACCCTTAGGGAACTGAGCTGGAGGCATTCAGCTGGTCGAAGTTCTCGTCAACAATCTGCGGCACAGGGCTTCGAAGCTTGCTTAGTCTCGAGTGGAAGGCTGCGGCTTCGGGTTTAGGGCTTACGGTTCAAGGTTTAGGGTTCGGTCCTTGCAGCCGTTCGTTCCGGAAAGGTGCCATCTGTCATGCTGACTGATGAGTATACCATGCCAGCATCCTCCCGTCTCCAATCCCGCAACAGGTAAGTTGAGAGAGGAACCTCAAGAAACAACATGCTGATTATTCCGACCCTTGATTATCTACAGCACTGAACTCCATGCACCGGCCAGCAAAAACTAGCACAAGTCGACCTCAGCTGGCAATCCCTAGGGCTCCAGCTACCTAAATGGCTGGTTAAAAAGCCTATATTATATACCCCAGTAACCTACTGTTTGGGTGGCTGGAGCCCTAACGAATCCTCGAACGATCTGTCAACACTCGGCCAAGCAACGGCGTGCGACTCGGAGTTGGCATTAAGACTGCTAGACCAAATCCCTGAACCCGGCAAACCATATATAGGGTTTAGGGTTTAGGGTTTAGGCCCTAGGCATATACTTACTTGTCCAGTATTCTAGGGTAACCAGGGGACGCAGAGTTTGGGTTGTAGTATTCCAACAAGCTTAAGGCACGTCGGGTGATGAGCGCGGTCCCCAGCGAAAGGCGTGAGATTGACTCGGAGGTTACCTACTCCACCACTCGGACAACTAGTTATAGCAACAACTTGTCACAACCCAGAGGGTCCATATACACTACCACTATGAAATTAGGTCCCAAAAGACCATCCCCACTCTGGTTTTGGGACCCTACTTCAGCTATAGGAGTATCTATGAGAGTTACCGAAAATGGGGAACCCTAAAATAGTAGGTACACCCAATTTCGGAAACTCCCAGGTGGACCCTATTGGCAAGAGGGCTCGGCTCCTGGGGGGACTCCTGTCTTCAGCCCCAAGAAAATCTTTTCGACTGCTTCTGAGATGACGTACGCAAGCCTCTTAGCCCAAAGCCCTCGACCAAAATCACCAAAGAAGGCTTATAGGGTGTAAATAGGGTTCAGGGCTTAGAGTTGAGGTTTAAGGGTTAATGTAGGAACTGATTAAGAAACCTTGGACCTTCATTAGGGCTCCTTATATGAACCCTAGAACTTTGGGGTTATAGGCCCAGGGTTTCTGAATCAGGTTCCTACATTAACCGAAAGCCCTGAACCAAAATCACTAAAACAAGAAGCAGCCACTTCAATCCCAAAGCTGTAAGCCCAAAACCCCAAAATTAAACAATGGACCCCTAAACCCCTAAACACTAAAAGCCAAAAAGTCGGAAACCCAATAGTCTCCAGCATTATTTGGCCTTAATTCGGTTTCCAACTTTATGGGGTTCACTGTAGACTCCAAACTGGCATTGCCTGAAGGATCCTTTCCGGCATCCCAGCGTTGACGATCTGCTGGTTCAGCTGAACATTTACCTGGCTTTTGGATTTTAGGTTCTAGGGAAAGTTTAGGGCGTAGGATGTAGAGTTGAAGGTTCAGGATTTGAGCTTCAGTTGTGGGTTTCAGGACTCCGAAAACGGATCGTGGGCTTGGTTTGATTCCATGGGCCAGCAAGTCGAACTCCCAGATCTAACGTTGCACCCCGGACCCTAAGCCTTAACTCCGGCAATGCTGCACCCATAATCCCCTGAAGCCTGGACCAAACATGTAACTCGCAATGCGGTGCCTTTCCGTTTAGGGATTCGTTTAGGATGTTGTTTAGGGTTTCGTTTAGGATTGTGTTTAAGGTTTCCCGTTTACAGTAGAAGCCAGAAAGTTGGAATATCATTATCCTAACCCCTTTAAGGTAAATTATAAGATATCCCACCCTGAAACCATATTCCAACTTTCTGGAGTTCCTTTTAGAGCCATGTCATGTAGCTTAAATGCAGACTTTGAATTGGATTTGAGAGCGTGTGGCATCCTGGAACTGTGTTGTGGTTTAGGGTTTTAGGGTTTTGGGTTTTAGGGTTTAGGGGTTTAGGGTTTAGGGTTTTAGGGTTTTAGGGTTTAGGGGTTTAGGGTTTTGGGTTTAGGGTTTGGGGTTGGAGTTAAGATTTTAAGGCTTTAAGGTCTAGGGCCTGGGATTCACAGAGAGGCACCCAAATCCTAAACCCCAGACCGTAAACCTCTTGACGGCCCTGGACTCCATATTCCAAAAACTAACTTTCAACTCCACACTACAATACCCTAAGCCCTCAGCGATAAACCCTGAACCCTAAGTCCCAAACCGCGAAACCCTAAACTTAAAGCCTAAAGCCCAAACCACGAAACCCTAAACCCCACAGCACAATGCAAGCCAGCGGAACTCGATCGGGGACTGGTGCAGGAGCTGACCCAGCGCCTTTGCTGGTTTCTTCTTCAGCCGTAAATCCAAGGGTAAAAAGAGGGACCCTTAATAAGGACCCCTAGGAATATACCCTTAATATAGCTATGATACACCCATTTTATAGAGCCCATTGTAGGGTAGGGGTCCCCATTAAGGGTCCCTCCTTCTCCCCTTTGACTTAAGTTACCATATTGGGGACAATACTCATCATAACCAACATCGGCTCAGTGGCGTCAACTCGCCTCAACATGCAGACTTGCCCTCGGGGTCCAGCTACTTATAATAAACTATTAATGTATGGGAGTTTCCGAACAGTAGGGGTACCTTACTTTGGGGTCCTTATAATTAATGAGGATCCTTCTATTTAAGGTGCTATATTAGGGTCCCTAATTTTCTGAAACTCCCGCGGGTGGTCATGATCCACTCCGAGAGCTGAGGACAAGGAAGGGTCGGGTCTATAACGGTTACAGTGAACCCCAGAAAGTTAGGATGACTAGTGCTGGATAGGGGTGTTCCAACTTTCTGGCTTCTACGGTCCTGTCTAATACTGTCTATGGTTGAGGGGTTGAGGACATAAGGTCTTGGACATGGGGCTGACGTCTAGCGAGAGTCCATTTTGACGGCGGCTCCAGTTGCTGAGGCAGTCTGAAACAGCTTTGATGCATGTGGGTTTTGGGTTGAGCTTGTGGCTCTCGCGAGTTGGGGTCCGTTGGGGCTTAGCATAGAAGCCTTAACAATTAATTAGAATAGGCTTTTGGTACTTGTAATGAGGAACCCATGAAATAGCATAAGTGATTTCTAAAGCCCCTGTATTAACTGTTTTCAGGTTTAGCTTCCAAGCCCTTTCGAGATCGGGGCTCGGCGAGAGAGAGAGAGAGAGAGAGAGAGCGAGATATCGAGTCTTGCTCCTTCCCTAAGGGTCCAAGTACCTAATAAGAATATACGCTCCGAAATATGAACCTACATAACTACTAATTATCCTAAACCCAAGTACCTTATTATTCTTGGGTCCTTTGGACCCTCGGAGTTCCAGAAACCAAGTCATCTACCAGGGTGAATGGTGCTGTTGAGAGGGTGATAAGGATGACGTTGATGATGGTGAGGATGATGCCGACGACGGTGTTGTTGATTGTGCGGTAGGACGAATAGCCCAAACACCCCTAACTTCACCGTCTGCTAAAACCCATAATCCTAAACCTTAAACCCCTAAACCCTAAACCCCCAAAGCCATAAACCCGCAAACGCCCAATCCCAAATCCTAACCCCTAAGCCCATCTAAAACCTAATCCCCTAAACCACAGGGCTACGGCCTGGACCCTCTGCAGAGCGGCGGCGGAGTGTTGCCTGTACCTAGCAGAGTGTCGCGGGGCCGCTTCCATGGCAAATGTTAGTATATACATACAAATAAATCTGTATATGTATACACATATATACACATATGTACTTATTTATCTATATGTATATGTCTGTATATATGCATCTATTTACATCATCCCGTTATATACTTAGATTATAACAGCCGTGCCACGCCTGCTGCAGGGTCATCCACCTATATCTATATATCTGTATATGTAACAGTACATACACACACAACCATCCATCCCTTCATAAATACATGCATGCATGCCTATGGATTATGTATGTAAACTTACGCTCATGCACCCGTCCAAAATAGGTTAGATGCCACTTAGCCGCCCAAACCCTACACCCTAAACTCCAGCACGCTGAGGCGGCCTTGGGAGCGGGAACATCGATAGAAGAATACCTGCGGAGCGTTTCCCCAATGGTTTAGGGTTTAGGGATGAGGGTTTAATTAGGGGTTTGAGGTTTAGGGATTAGGGTTTAGGGTTTTAGGGATCAGGGTTTCGGGGTTTTAGGGATCAGGGTTTAGGGTTTAGGGTGCTTAACTAAGGGTCCATGTAGTCGTATACTTTGGAGTGCGCCGGGGCTCAGGCAACGCATTTTGGTTTGGGGATTCCGGGTAGGAGGGTTTAGGGTGTTGGGATAATTGGATTTAGGGCTTATAAGGCTTAAGGGTTTAGGGTTTAGGTGCTTAGGGTTTAGGTTTTGGGATTATTTAAGATTTCGGATTTTGGGTTTGGGGTTCGGGGTGTATATCAGGCTTGGGGTCTTGGGTTTTGCTAGTTCGGAGCCTTGCCCTAAATCTCGGCCTCCAAATACTTGAACATGTCTCTCTCCGAGACCTTTAAGTCGCGTCCAGGGTTGCGGGTTGATAAGTTTACGGTGTACCTATAGGCTCCAGAGTAGTTCCTTTTTGGGATTACCTTATAGGATTCCCCAAAAACGAACCCCAGAAAGGAACTACTGTGGAGCCTATGAATAAATGAGGGTTCAAGGTGTATGAGTTTCCTGGCTTCCTGAGCCTCCTTTCTTTGAACACAGGTTTCGGGCGATGAGAAACTCCAGACTCTACTCTCCGAGTACTCTGAATCTAACATCGTGGCAAACAGGCAATCAGGGCTTAGGATATGCTGCTTGGAGAACGTGCTGAAGCTCTCTTGCAATCCTGAATCCACAGAGCACCACAATTACCTACAAGGCGTACACACTTCTTACCAGCATCACCAAATAGACAATACCAAAACCAGCACAGCTATGATAACACACAGCAACCTCAGAACAGAGAAATGCCGGACAACCTACAGACCTGCACGGTACTTTCTTCATCTTTCCACAGCCTATAGAGTCAGAAGTGCCATGAGGTCCAGATCCATGCATGCAACAAGACACTTGGCTTTGAAGAGGTCTTTGGCCCTGCCGTAAGCACTCTTCGCACGCTTCAAGCTTTCGGCCGTGCCCTGTCGGGTTTGAGTTCTTCCGCTCTTTCTTGGGCCCTTTCTTCTTTGCTGCCTCTTCCTCTGCGGCAGCCCGTTTTGCCAAACGGAGCTGCTGCTGTGCCATGTAGAATCAATACTTCACACTGAATACCGTCGCCAAAAGAAAAGAAACCCGCTTCTCTTATGGCAGCAGTTCCAGACACCCGGAAAAGCTTGAACCCTTACACAACGCCTATGCTTTCGTGCTGATGATTCTGAATCTTCACAGAATACGTTTCAGAACATACCGGAACGGAATCTCCTTCATGTCTCTAGAACCCTACACCACTCCAACGCCCCCAAAGAAACAACACCTATACCCCGAGCCTCGTCACACGAAACTAAGTCCCAGACCTCTAAGGAAAATCCCTGAACCGCATCATCCGAAACTCAAAGCCCCTAAGCACTATTATAAAGACCTCAGCATTTTCACCAGGGCTTTCGGGTAACACTCTGCTATACTCATATTCGGATCTATAAGGGCGGATGACTGCCAAACCTTTAAAAATCACCGTGCAAAACCCTACAAAAACCCCGAACCTGATTAAGAAATCCTGGCCCTATAACCCTCAACTAGTCGGATTCATATAAGGAACCCTAATAACGACCCAAGGTTCCTTCATCAGGTTCCTACAGTATACATTACAGTAGAAGCCAAAAATTTGGAAACCCAATAGCCTCCATCCTTAAGAGCAATTTATAGGGAATCCCAGCACTATTTGGCCTTTATCAGGTTTCCAACTTTATGGGGTTTACTGTAGGGTTATATAAACTCCAAAAGGGCGAAAATTACCTACTGAGCTACGAAGGTACACCTAATTTTCGGAAACCCCCTTTTGACTCACTATCCAGACTCTCTATAAACTAGGCCCAAGAGTAACCTAGGAATAAAAAGGGTGCCCTTTTTGGTTTAAAGGGGCTTATAAGGGAACCTGATCCCTTAAAAAGGGAATAAGGGTCTACTCTGGGTCCTAGTAAAGGAACCCGGTGGAGCTCAGCTTCCGACTTTGACAGGAAGTTCCCGCCACCCCCGAAGACCAAAGAGGGACCCGTATCCGCCTGCGGTGCTGGGTGGGTTTAGGTTTCAGGGCGTTGAGGTTTGGTTTGGGAAATTTTCGGTGAATTTACGTAAAGTTTAAGGTTTTGGGTGAGAAAAGGGAGCATTCCGGGTTAAAAAGGGAGCTTTCTGGGTTCAGGCCGACCCAGGTTCAAGGTGTGGCGTGTTGAATAAAGGGGGCTAGAGATTAGAACAGGGTTCTGGAGTCCATGACAGCAAACTTATAACAAGGAACCCGAATGAATAGCCGCAGCATGACATATTCAAACCTTTATCAGTTTCTTAGCCGCCTCGGTCTATGGCGATGCTGGCCATAGACCGAAACCACAGCCCCGCTGATATGATACAGAAATAATTACAGCAATAGCAAGAAACATAGTAATAGTACTAGTAACTTCTAGTACTACGGCAGGTAGGCTAAATAGATAACTTTTTGATTTTGTCTGGAAAAACTAACTTTGGCGGCACCAGTATCGAACTTTCACGAAGACATATTGGCCTTTCATATAAGTCATGGCTCAAGGAACTTTACATCAACTACCTTATTAGTTATATATATATATATATATACTAGGCAAGTGATACTAGACAAGTGAAACGAGGAAGCCTAAGGAATGATATTGGTATCTTTTTGCATGAGTCGCTTGGGGGTTTAGGTCCTGTGGGAGGTCTCCTGGTACTAGCCCACTGGTGGTCTCCTCATGATGCCGCCGCGTTGCTGTAGCACCGCTTGCTGATCTACGACGGCATAAGACTGCATGTAGATGTACAAGCGTAGGTGTGTGTGTGTGTGCGTATGTATGTACATATATATATACATATATGAATAGATACATGTGTGGAGACAGAGAGAGCGTGAGAGAGAGAGAGAGAGAAAACACAACAAAGAGCGTAACAAAGGGTTGTGCTATGAGAGATAGTTTACGCTTATACATTTGCAGTCTAAAGCAGTCGTCTTTCTACTCTCCCGGAGCCTGCTCACGCGAGGAGGTTGGCGACGGCGACGACTGACTCGGCCTGTGTTCGGAGCAGTAACAGGTAGGACTGGGGTTCCGGATACTGTCATGAGGCCCGTTTCAAGTACCTAAGCCCACGGAGCCCTCAACTAAGGTAATTGTCTATACATACATATATATATATATATATATACACCATATATATATATATATATAGATATATATATATATATATATATATACACTTTTTTCACGTCTAGAGCTCTCTTAATATGACTCAAGCGATACTTTACTATTAAGTTAAGGCTAAGGGGTACTGGGTTCCCTACACCCGAAACCCCTGCAACAACCCAATCAACGACATGTGAAGAAAAACAACCCTAAAACTCCAAGGCACATCCTATTTCAGTAAGCTTTCTGGGCTTAGGCAGCACCGGGTTCCAACAGCATACCATAACCTATCTCCAAAACCCTAAGCTCCAAACACTAAGCTTCAAGCCCTCAACCCCAAACCCGAAACCCCTAAACCCCAAATAATAGGCACTGGTTCTGGCCCCCCGATTAAGCCCCTATAGCCTACTATTTTGCTTAAGAAACCCCCAAAAAATATAACATATATTCCTTATGGGGGTAATATAGGGATTATTATTTTTTATTTTTTGAGGGCTTCTTGAGCAAATAGTAGTAGCCCACACCCTGAACCCCACAAGACCAGGCCTAGAGCCACCGAAGGTGACCCCAGGCTTAAACCTTCGATCCATCGCAGCGGCTGCAGGGGTCTACTCGAATCGGGTTCCTTGGGGTTCCTTAAAAAGGGTTCATATATAGAATCCTATAAGGTAATCCCAAAAAGGAACTACTATGGTAGTGGGCCCAGACCCTTCCAAAATCCCTTAATTAAGGAATATCCTTTAAATTATAGTAGGATCCTTACTATGATTTAGGGTATATTCCTTAATTAAGGGGTTTTGGAAGGTCTGGGGTTCCTTGGGGTTCCTTAACGGGATCCTTAAAAAGGGATCCTTAAAGGGATCTATAGGTTTCAGGTTTCAGGGGCTACGGTCTGGGTTTAGCAGGGTCTGTCAGGGTTTACTTCAACCCCCAAAAACAAGTAACATAATGGCCCCAAACCTGCCAAAAAGACTGTTATTCTAGATACTTTTTGGGGTCCAGGTAGGATTTAGGGGTTAGGGTCAGGGTTTAAGAAAATCTGGTGTTTTCGGGGTTGTTAGGGTTTAGGGTTTTGATTGCCGGGATGACGGGGGAGGTAAAGGTAGGGTAAAGTTCGGTCAGGAATCCTACTACAAGACGTCTTGCTGACAGAGGATGAGGGTGTAGGGCTTGTTTTGCGTTGGCTCAAGATAGTCTGAGATAGTCTCTAAGCTTTAGGGTTCAGTCTTGTGACGGCTTAATTTAGTGGGGTGGCGGGGGGGCGGGTTTAGGCTATTGTCTTTGTGGGGTTTTGTGTTTTTTGTTGCTTTCAGGCTCAGGCTTTCAAGGCGTGTAACCGATTCTCAGACCTTCCAAAATCCCTTAATTAAGGAATATCCTTAAATTATAGTAATTAGGATCCTTAATCTGATTTAAGGTATATTCCTTAATTAAGGGATTTTGGAAGGTCTGGGTTATTAGGCCTCCAACGAGCTGACAGAAGCAATCCAAACCCGATGCCCAACGTCAACAAACTCAAGCCCCAATGCCCGAACCCAATACATCTGAACCCCAACGGTCCTTGAACTGCTGGCTCAGCTTCGGGTTAAAGGGAACTCCAGAAAGTTAGAATATGGTTTCAGGGTAGGATACCCTTAAGGGTTTAGGATAATCATATTCCAACTTTCTGGCTTTTACTGTAGGCTTTTAGAGTTAGGGCTTATTGCTTTATGTTTTAGCGCTTAGAAGGCTGTACTTGAGCAAGCCAGGGCACTCCGCAGCTTCCGGATTCAAGGTGCTGGTCACCTGCTCAGGACATGTTCGGAAACGGAGTAGGGTTTACCTTAACCCGGAATAGCCTACCTTTTTAAGGACATATATAAGGAAATCATACTAAGAAACCCTGGAAAGGTAGGTTCTTCAGGGTTAAGGTAGGGTTTAGGGTGGGGGGGGCTTGGGAGTCGGGGCTAGGGCTTCCAAAACCTCGTACTCCTTGTATTTCAGATGTGTTCTCGACGTCAAAGCACCCAAGTACTGCCAAGTACTATGGATGAAGAATCCTGTGTTCGGCTATTTGGATTTGGGGCTGTGAGGGTTTAGGGTTAGGGTCCCCTGAAACCGAAACCCTCAATAACTTCTACACCCCTTTCCCAACTCGTACCCTAAACCTAAGCCCAACTCGTACTCCTTAACTTAGTTGCTGAGCTCGTAGGCCCAACAACTTTCTGTTCGATAAGGCGATAATTCCTGGAGAATCCTGGAGAATACTACCCGCCCAAAAAATGTACGTAAAGTGTACCCACCCAGCAGACTAAGCTAAGAAGGCAACCCTAAACCACCCTAACACGCCCAAACTCCCGAAGCCCTGGAGGCACCCAAATATAACACCCTAAATAGTAGGATCCTGATTATAAGGACCCCCAGAATAAGATAAACCCCCCCCCCCCCCCCTCATTTTTCGAAACTCCCAAATCAAACCCTAAACCGTGTGGAGGGACCCTTTTCAGGACGAGACCGAAGCCCGAAGCCCAAATCCCTCAGAGCCTCCTCATCCTCACCTCTCGGAGCTTCGCAGCACTTCGCTTGAGGCTTGGGGCTTTAAGGGTTGAGGGCTTCTAGGGTTTCGGGATCAGGGTTTCGGGAGGTGCTTTGTGTGTTGGGGTTTAGGGTTTATGGAGGCAGTCTTGGGACAATCCAGGGTCTAGGGTTGAGGGCTTCTAGGGTTTCGGGATCAGGTCTTCAGGATGTGCTTTGTGTATTGGGGTTCGTAGGGTAGGAGTTGGAAGAGAAACCGAGAACACGTATAATCTTGTGTTTCATACTGCTTTCTTTAAAGAAAAGGTCTGGTACATAGCACTCCATAACCCCGAGACTCTGTGAACTCCAGAGCCTCGTAAGCCCCGAGACCTTCACTCCTGTGGTACTTGGAAGGGCAGGGGACTTAGTAAGTAGGGTTTAGGGTTTAGGGTTTAGGGTTTAGTAAGTAGGTTATAAGTGGAGTTATGAGTACCCCAAATGGAGTTACCCCAATTGTAACCCTACTTAGAAGCTACTTACTAAGTCCCCTGCCCCTCCAAGTAGTCTGGGTAGTGGTCAGAATCATAGCCTTCTTGGGGACATGATAAAAAACACACTTCAAACTACTCTACGTTGGTAAAACCCTCCATGACTTTACTCTTGGTACAACCCTGTGGCCTAGGAGCCTAAAAAGGACACATTTAGGTTTGAGAACACTAAACACTAAAGACTCGAAAGGCAAAACTCATAGCGCGGAGTCTCATGACCGAAGCCCATCCAAGAGTTCTTCCCCCAAGGGTCCAAAGGACCCAATAATTGGGTACTCGGTTTTAGGATAGTAGTTATGTAGGTTCGGATTTTGGAGAGTATATGATTATTAGGTACTTGGACCCTTGGGGTTCAGACCCGAATCCCTCCAACCGTTACTCACAACCCGACTTCAGGGGTTTGAGGCTTAGGGTTTAAGGGTTTAGGGGTTGGGGGTTTAGGGTTTAGGGGCTAAGGGTTAAAGTTTTAGGGTTCAGGGTGGGCATTGGGCTCAGGCATGTTGCGCCCGACAGCCAATGTGTCGATCTTACAGCCAGCAACGACACCGTATTACGATAGAAGTGTGCCTAAATGATACGAGTAACTCATATAACTATCAAACACCCCAAAATTAAAACAGCCATTATATGTTCAATGTGCAGCTGTTTGCAAAGTTGCGGAGAATCATGCTGTTCTACTTTTATAGCTTATATGCCCCGACATCCTATTCTAAAGTTTTCGACTCAAGCATTTGTTGTAGGACTCTTGCGGTCACCGGATCCCCCAAAGTGGGGCTTTTGGGTTTATACTGTACGGGCTAGCCTAGGGTCTTCAGTTTAGGGCCTCGGGTTTGGGGACCTGATGCCGCAATCTCCGAAGAGCTAGGGTTTAGGGTTTAGGGTTTAGGGTTTAGGGCTTTGAAGACTCGTCGGAACGAAAGCCCTGGACGGAACCCGAACACGCCTGCGAAATCGGCGCCTCCCGCATCTGCCATCGTTAGAAAAGCACCTCAGAAGGAGCAAGGGACAGGTTTCGTTGAAGAGCTTAGAGGTTTAGGGTATGTCTTAGAAGGGGGCCCCCACCGTGTAATAGTGGAAAAATAGGAATATAATAGGGCCCTGAAAAAATCCTTATAGTCACTATTACAGGGTGGGGGCAGCTTCTAAGGTATGTTCCTAATCATTACATTGCTCGGATAAGACACGAAACAGCAAAGAACTCCGAAGAACGAATCATGGACTGGGGCTGGGAGGAGTGGTAGAGCGAACATCGATACACGAGGGTCAGATGCTGAGCCCTAAACCCAAAACGCTGAACCCTGATCTCAAAGCCTCGTAACAAAAGACTACTTGTAACACCAACCGCGCAAAGCTAAAACCCTGAGCACTGTCCCTGCTGAGCCCGGGCTGTAAACGCAAACCCTGCACCGCCTGCACCCAAGATGCTCTGAACAGTTTCAGCCTTTCCGCCCTCAATTAAAGTTCTTGCTGAGGGCCCTGCCGAAGCGACATCGCCCGAAGAAGCAGCCATGCTGTGCTTTAGGGTTTGTGGGGTGAAGGGTTGATTGACGAGTTACAGAAAGGGTATGTTAAAAGTCCCGAGCTTGGTGAGTACAGTGTGAGGCTTGTGCCTATGGCGGGGTTATGGTGTACAGGGCCTGACGTCAGCCGCAGGGATCTGACGTCAGCCTTGGAAGACTGTTACGTACTACGCAGTCGTAGCAACGAGCTTGCAATCGCCATGTCCACTGATGAAGCTGCCTATACTGAACTTAGAACCCTAGCAAGAATTATAATTGTAGCTGTTTCTTAGGGATCAGAATAACCAAAAACTTATAAAAATTGATTCTAAGTATCCCTAAGCACTGATGAAGCTGCCTTTTGTGCGGAGACACGCTCGTCTGGACCGTCGCTGCAGCCAGGGAGGCGCTCGACCCATCCCGTGTGACCCTGTCGGCTGTGGATCTATAGGGTTCCTTAAAAGGGATCTATGGGGTTTAGGGTTTAGGGCCTACTTGGAGGGGCAGGGGACTTAGTAAGTAGCTTATAAGTAGGGTTATAATTGGGGTAACTCCATTTAGGGTACTTATAACTCTACTTATAACCTACTTACTAATTCCCCTGCCCTTCCAAGAAGGGTCCAAAGGACCCAATAATTGGGTACTCGGTTTTAGGATACCAGTAGTAGTTATGTAGGTTAGGATTTTGGAGAGTATATGATTGTTAGGTACTTGGACCCTTGGGGTGTCCCTCATGAAAGCTTATATACTCTATAGGGGCTTGATAATTAGACTCGGGTTTTTGGGCTTATGCTATTAGAAACCCCACCAAAAATAGCATGCACAATTATTAAGGCTCCTTTAGTACTCACAGATTGGATCCGACGCACGATTTTCAGTGCGAGGAACAAGCAGAACAGGACATGCGTGCGTGCAAACTCTGGTTAGCAGGTGTATAAGCAGCGGCCAGAGAGCAGTCGGGGAAACTAAAGCCTTATACACCACAAAACACAAGGTAGGTACTAGTTACAGACTTTGGGCCCACAGTAGGCTTCGGAGTCTCAAGAAGCTTGTGTGCCTGTATGATTTCAGAAGCTTTGTACTGGGGGGTTTCTGGTCAAAACCGGGTTCGACTTGAGATGCAGGGAGGTCTGTGAGATAGGCGGATGGTGCTTGGGGTGCTGGGCGACAGTATCTAGAGCTCAGGATTACCGTGATGTTCCTCGAGGCATCCTCATTCATGTCCTGCATGTCGATAAACCCTGCAGCCTTTATCTTCGGGCTTGGGCAAGCTTTCCAAGTCTCCTGCTCTAGATACGTTTAAGGCTCACCACTGCCTGGACCTCAAAATGCACCCTGTAGCTACACCCCCCTCCCTGCAAAAAGGACCCAGAGAAGGGACCCTTATTAGAGAACTACCCCCCTGTACAGCCTAAAATCTTTCCGTTATCTATGATGACTGATAAACCCAAGCTTTTTCTTCTGATCATTCAGGCATCCCGAGGGTTTTTTTTTCTTTGCCTGTCCTCGCCTCGGGCACCTTAAACCCGAAAGCACCAAGCTCACTGCGACGGGCCCCAAAATATTGCGAGACAGGCGTTCTTTTTCCATGCGGCGTCACGGGATTTCCCGAAGTTGTCTGTCAGTTTAGGGCTCAGAGGTTGGATCTGCCTTGAAACCAAAAACTCCTCAGGGAAAGGCCCTGCTCTTGTTTAAAGATTGAGCAACCTAGATCCAAACCCTGAAGTCTTAAATTCAAACCCCTCAACCACGCTTTTGGAACCCTCTTCTAGCAATTGATACCACCTCTTACACGACATCTAAGCCCTGAAAGGCTACAACCTATAAGCCCTGCGGTGCCCTAAAGCCGTTGCTCGCCAAGTCGACCTCCCAACCCGAAGGGCGCCTCAAGCAAGCGTCGAACAGGACGGTTGCTTTGGGGCTTAGGGTTTGCAGTTCAGTGTTTGGGGCCTGGGTTTGAAGTGTCCTGCTCTGTTCAGCAGCTGGAAGTGCCCAGTGATGCGATCTCGCGGGTTGAGGGTGTGGGCTTTAACTTTCAGGGCCGGGTGACGATGGAAAGGCTTGGGGGATGGCAGGGCTTGCATGCTTCGGGGCTTGGGATTAGGATTACAGTTCGGGGCTTCTCTGTTCCGAGCTCATGGTTTGGACCTTCAGCTTTTCTACACGGGCTTTGGTGTTTAGGGCAAGCAGCAGGGTCCAAAGAAGATTCACACTTTGGAATCGCAAAACGCCTATGTGTAGCCTGAAAGCGCATGTAGTGATTTTGGGACAATATGGGATGTTGACAATGGCATGGGCGATTGCAGCGCTGGTGTGTCGTAAAAGGCCGGGCTTGTTAAGCGGCCAAAGGGCTCAATGATATCAGGCCTTGCGCTTCGGATCTGAGATTTGATGGGTTCGCGTAGCCTTGGAGAGCGGTCCAAAGGCAGAGTGCCAGCCCTGCAGATTGCTCGAAAAAACAGCCCTGCAACAACTACTCGACAGAATCAAATATGCTGCGCTGCTAAAGATCACATACCTCGAATATACCTGGAGCACCGGCCTCAATCCCATCACGACAGTAATAGTCACGAAGGGCCTTGTGGGGAAACGCTGTGCCGGCCGGAGACCCACCGCCTCATAGGCGTGCCTGGCAGCCTCCACACATGGGAGTTTCCGAGAATAGGGGACCCTAGAAAATACCCTAAATAGTAAGAACCTTGTTATCGGAATCCCACACATCTCTCCGGTGCTTCGGACATGTGTGGCTTACTCTGCCGCGTGGTTCCGTCGGCGCTGCATGCTTTGTTGCTGTGCATCATCGTACCCGGGATCCCAAACTGGCGGCCAACGGAAGCACCTCGAGATCTTCGTTCGATGCCAGTGCGGGCCCTGCGACCTTAAGGTTGAGGGACCAAGGAGCAGAAAGATGGGGCTCTGAACGCTTGACAAAGGTTTACATGGTCTTCGCCGGATTAAATGTCTGAGGGCTGTCATGGGCTTCGGCCGGGCGGAAGAAAGCGCTCAGGTGTCGGCCAAGCGGTTTCGGAACCGCCATGCGACAGTGCGCCGGTGCGCCTCATCTGCGGAGTGCCTTGCCAGGCCCGATGTTCGATTGCGAGCTGTCGGTCCTAGGGTTCAGTACCACTACGGGCTATTAGACCCTAAAGATCCCTACTAGGACCCTATTAAGGGTAGATTAAGGTACCCATAAGGTCTAATAGCCCATAGTGGTAATTACTGAGGTTTTGGAGTTTCATAAGGTCTAGAGTGCGGTGTGTAGTTTTTCAGTCGGTTTTGGATTGCAAACTCGGCCTTGCATTGCCGTAACAGTATCGGGCTTTGAACCAGGCGTCCCTCGAGATACATGTCATATACATAAACTACATGATCCTTCAAGCATAGGTCTAAGATTTCGATTACGGTTGTCAGCTCGAGCCAGCGAGTTGCGAAGTACTTGGGCCTAGAACTGTAGCGATGTTCGGTTTCGGAGCTTGAGCTCAAAGGTAGAGGGTGTTTCAGGATGCCCCGAGAGTGCGCGCTCGCCGATGACCTTTAACTTAGTGGCTGAGTTCATAAGCCCCTCAAAAAGTGTACACTTTCAGTTTTATAGTGGGTACTACTATCCCAAAAAGTGTAAACTGTATCCACTCAGCTACTAAGTTAATGATGCTAGATGCGGTTGAAAATACATAAAAATTCCGGTCTTAGCCGGTCTTTGGGCTGCAGCTGATCGGTTGTGCAGAGTTTGCTGCTTTGTGGAAGTGGCATCAACCCAGACCTTCCAAAATCCCTTAATTAAGGAATATCCCTTAAATTATAGTAGGATCCTTAATATGATTTAAGGTATATTCCTTAATTAAGGATTTTGGAAGGTCTGGGTACATAGGACTGAAGCCCGGGCCGAAGTTGACCCTGGAATTGGTATTGAGCATGTCTGGCGCTTTTGGGACCCTGTGAGTTTGATACCGGTTGTCATGAAACAAGTTTTGTCAGGGCCCGACGGGTTCCCGATGTATGTGTGTGTACATGTATCATCTATGTATATACACACATATGCAGATGTGTTTGTATATGCAAATATGTGTGTATGTACTGATGTGTTTATGTGTTTATAGACGAGGGCTAATTATATATAAGTAAAGTAACTAAGCATACCCATACGTGTTACTTACAATCCCAAGCGAGGTACCCTCTAAGGAGCCCTTTAAGGAACCTTACTACGTCCCATGATCCTCCAAGTCCCCCTCCACCTCAGCTGCGAAACAGCTTCTGGCGGCCGTGAGGGCCAAGGGTACGAAACACCCGTCCACCTCGTGTTGCTTTGTTGTGGCTTGGCGTTGGGGGGACGCCTTGCTAAAGTCAGTTTAATTACTCATATTTATAGCTAGGGTACTTAAAGCGTGGCTGCTAGGCGTAGTACTTAAAGGATCAGGCGATTTAGTAAAAGGGTTACAAGCCATTGAGGCAGTTGTGGACTTCTAGATCTCTTATAG